GAGAGAGAGAGAGAGAGAGAGAGAGAGAGAGAGAAAGAGAGGTCTTCCATTCACTGGTTCACTCCCCAATTGGCCACAATGACTGGAACTGTGCTGATCTGAAGCCAGGAGCCAGGAGCTTCTTCCGGGTCTCCCATGTGGGTGTAGGGACCAAGGACTTGGGCCATCTTCCACTGCTTTCCCAGGCCACAGCAGACAGCTGGATTGGAAGAGGAGCAGCTGGGACTCGAACAGGTGTCCATATGGGATGCTGGCACTGCAGGCAGCGGCTTTACCCATTGTGCCACAGCGCCGGCCCCTTAAAGTATCTTAACAGTTATTTATTTATTTATTTATTGGCAAGGGAGATACAGAGAGAGACACACAGAGAGAAAGAGCTCCCATTCGCTGGTTCACCACCCAGATGCCCACAACAGCTGGGGCTGGGCTGGGCTGAAACTGGGAGGTGGGAGTTCAGTGTAGGTCTCCCCAAGTGGGTGGCAGGGACCCAACTACTTGAGCCACCACCTGCTGCTCCCCAGGGTGCACATGAGCAGGAAGCTGGAATGGAACTGGGAGCAGAGCTGGGACTCAGACCCAGGCTCTCCAGGTTGGAATGTGGGAGTCCAGAGTGGCAGCTTAACCCACTGTGCCGTAGGCCCACCCCCTTAAAGTGTGTATTCATCTAATTTAAACATCTGTTTATTTACTTGAGAGTCAGAGTGACAGAGGGTGAGAAAGGGTGAGAGACAGAGACGGAGACATAGATTTTCTGTCCACTGGTTCATTCCCCCGGTGCTGCAGCTGCTGGGGCTGGTGCAGGCAGAAGCCAGGAGACAGGAACTCCATCGGGGTCTCCTGTGGGGAGCAAACCGGACTAGACTGAGTTGCTGGAATTAGGACTTATTCTATGCATCTGCTCTCCCACAATATGGCGCTGGGAGAGAAGTAAACAGCTTCCGCACAGCTGCCTCCAGTTCAACCAATTAACTGTAGGACTTGCTCCTGATTGGAGAGCAGCGTACTCGGCGTGTGGGCAGCCGAGTTGGGATTGGCGGAGGAGGACTATAAAGGAGGAGAGAGACGGCATGCACCGGGAACATCTATGGGGAACATCTAAGGGAACCCGTGCAGCCCCCGAGAGAACCGGCCGGCGGTGTGCCGCTCCCCTGCGGAAGTGGGGAATGCGGCCAGGGGGAACTGCCCTTCCACGGAGGTGGAAGGGATAGTAGCCAACCCGGGAAGAACCAGCAGCAAACCCGGGAGGGCCGAGCAGACGAAAGAACAGCGCAGGGTCCTGTGTTGCTCCTCCACGAAGAGGGGGAGCGACAGTCTCCCATGTGGGTGCAGGGACCCAAGTCCTTGGGCCATCACCTTCTGCTTCCCAGGTACATTGACAGGAAGCTGGACCAGAGTGGAGTAGCCGGACTCAAATCGGCAGTCTGATACGGATGCTGGCATTGCAAGGGGCGGCCTGACCCACTGCACCACAATGCCAGTCCCTTAAAGCATTTTTTAGGAATAGATTTATTTTTATTTATTTATTTGAAAGGCAGAGTGACAGAGAGAAGGAGACAGACAGATAGCAGACAACGACACACCCCTATCTTCCTTTCTCTGGTTCACTCCTCAAATGTCCGCACAGCCAGGAAGCGGGAACGCCATCTGGGGAGCAGGGACTTGGGCCTTGATTTGCTACTTTCCCAGGTGCGGTAGCAGGAAGTGGGATGGGATGTGGGGGAGCTGGACATGAGCCAGCGTTTTGATGGGGTGGCTTAACCCACGGAGTCACAGCACATTCATCCCAGTAGTTTTATAAAGAAAAGCATTACATCATAGTCCAGGCCAAAAAAAAAAAAAAAGTTTTATCCAGGTTTTAGTGTTGTGTTGAAGGAGAGAGAAATAGGTAACAGCCTTTGCAAGTTAAATTAAAAGTTAAAAATACTGGGCCAGCGCTGTGGCTCACTTGGCTAATCCTCTGCCTGCGGTGCTGGCACCCTGGGTTCTAGTCCCGATTGGGGTGCTGGATTCTGTCCCCATTGCTCCTCTTCCAGGCCAGCTCTCTGCTGTGGCCCAGGAGGGCAGTGGAGGATGGCCCAAGTGCTTGGGCCCTGCAACCGCATGGGAGACCAGGAGAAGCACCTGGCTCCTGGCTTCAGATCGGCATGGTGCGCTGGCCGTAGCGGCCATTTGGGGGATGAACCAACGGAAGGAAGACCTTTCTCTCTGTCTCTGAAAAAGAAAAAAGAAAGTTAAAAAATTGAATCAAAGGCAAAAAGGGGCAGGCCTTGCGCACAGTGGGTTAAGTGCCTCTTAGGGACATCTGCGTGGCATAGGACAGGGCCTGGCCTGGAGTCCTGGTACGGTACCAGCTTCCTGGTACGGAGCACCCCGGGAGGCAGTAGGTGATGCCCGTCCACGTGGGAGACCTGGAGCGGGCTTGTGGCTCTTGGCTTCAACCTGGCCCAGCACTGGCTATTGCAGGCATCTGGGGGAGTGAACTAGCAGACTTCTCTTTCTCTCCATCACTTTGCCTTTTGAATAAATAAATTGAAAAAAAAATTAAAAATGAAAAGGCCCTGGAACGCTGAAGAATTGTAGCTCTTCAAGGAGGGTGAGGGAGGAGGGGGTTGGGCATAGCAGGTGCACACGTGTCCCTCATAGGAGTCCCTGGTGCCAATACCCACCTCCAGATTCCAGCTTGCTGCTAATGCACACCCTGGGAGGCTGTGGGGATGGTTCAAGTCTTTGGGTTCCCACCACCCACGTGGGAGGCTTGGATTGAGTCCCAAGCTTCTGGCTCCAGCCTGGCCCAGCGCTGGCAGTTTTGGGCATTTGTAGAGTAAACCAGTAGATAGGAGATCTGTGTCTGTTTCTGTCTCTCTGCCTCATATTCAAAGTAAATAAATAAGAAGGTGCAAGGAGGAGAGAGGGAACCTTTAGACCCGTGGTTCAGAGTGGGGGCGAGGCTGGTACTGTAAGTGAGTGGGGTGGGCCAGTGCAGAACGAGGGGCAACCGAAGCCACCCGGCTTCGGGAGCCTGCACCTAGTGTCTATTAAGGGGTGTTCAGGCGCTCACCTGTTGCTCTGCGCCCCGCAGTGCCCTCTAGTGGGAGGAGTGCGCAGCGTCCCTCGCCGCCGCCCCAGGGCTTGGCTGTGCCACTTGCCAGGGCGGAGCAGCTGTTTGAAGAGTCCCTGTGTGGTTTTTTCTGCTTTTTTGTTCTTTTTGCTACGTGATGAGAACATCGTGTCCCAGATAGGGACTGTGCTTTCGGCCTGGGACTCGGAGTAAGAGCGCACAAATCAGAGCTGCAGCCACGCTGCCACTGTAAATCCTGGAGAGTTAAAGCTCTGGTGGTGGTGTAAGCCAGTACGGCTTTCATTTGAAAGGCAGAGAGACAGAGACAGGCAGAGGTCTCCCACCTGCTGGTTTACTCTGCAAATGCCTGCAACAGCTGGGGCCAGGCCAGGCTGAAGCCAGGAGCCTGGAGCTCCATCTGAGTCTCCCATGTGGGTGGCAGGGACCCAGGTGCTTGGGCCATTGTTGCTGCCTCCCACGGTGCACATGGGCAGGGATCTGGAGCCAGAAGCGGAGCCAGAACTCTAACCCACACAGTCTGATATGATAATCACAGGCATCCCAGCTGGTGCTTTAACCACCATGCCAAATCTCTGCCAGCCCCCGTGGGATTTTGAAGCTGTTTATCACCACAAATACCTAACTACTACAGGTGTCCAACTAAATTAAGAGGAGAGTGAGATACTTTTTCTAAAAATTAATTAATTAATTTGAAAGGCAGAGTTATAGAGGGGATGGGGGAGAGAGAGAGAGGTCTTCCATCCACTGGTTCACTCCCCAAATGGCTACCATGGCTGGAGCTGCACCGATCCAAAACCAGGAGCCAGGAGCTTCTTCTGGGTCTCCCACGCAAGTGCGGAGGCCCAAGGGCTTGGGCCATCTTCTGCTGCTTTCCCAGGCCACAGCAGAGAGCTGGATTGAAAGTGGAGCAGCCGGGACTTGAACTGGTGCCCATATGGGATGCTGGCACTGCAGGCGGCAGCTTTACCCGCTGTGCCACAGTGCCGGCCCCTCCTCTTGTTTTTTTGAGGCTTGTTTCTGGCTCCCTGCTTTTCTGTGCTGCCACCAAATGTCTGTTTCAGGTTGTCTGTTCTTACCTCTCTGGTTCATATCAGGGGCTCTCATCAAGTTTCTGGTCATTTTTGGCCATCTGCTCACATTTACGAGAGAGGCACTAAGGTGTGTTGCAGGGTCCATGCTCCTGGACCAGCGGGCATCCCCGACGGGTGTTGGGCAAGGAATGGCCCCAGAGCGTCAGAGCCTCGCTCAGGACTCCACAGTTCAGATTCTGCAGCGAGGAATCCCAGGCTCCCGGCCATGGCCAGCCTACCCCAGTCACTAACTGTGAGTGCCGACTGGGGAAAGGGGCTGCTTGGAGCCAGGGACTTCTTCTAATTCACCCCAAGGGTGGCAGGGCCCAAGTACTGGTCCATCTTCTGCTTTTCCAGGTGCATCAGCAGGGAGCCGGGTTGGACGCGGTGCAGCCGGGATTCGAGCTGGCCCTCAGCTGGGATGCCAGCGTTGCAGGGGGTGGCTTAACCTACTGCACTGCAACACTGACCCCGACGGATGTAATTTTCGTGGGGGTTTCAGGAAAGACGGGTGGTAAGCGTCGGTGTTGAATCTGCTGTGTGAGACTGACATGTGTGTGAAGATCACGGAGTTGGAAGGTTTTACCGTTTGCACTGGCAGAATCCAGTGGGTCTGGTGGCTTTGATGGAGCGACAGAGGGCAGGGGCGCAGACATGCTGGCAGGAGAGTGGTTAAAACACGGGACCATGCAGCCTGGGTCGGATAACTGAAGGCAGTGTAGGTCCGAGGGAGTTGATGGCTAGAGGGGTTTAGGGACTAGACGTCAAAAAAAAAATATATATATATATATACACACTACGGAGCGCAAACCACCGCATGTGCAGTGTGTCACTGGGGGAGGGGGCCGTATCTACCCAGAGGATGGCGGCGAAGCCACGCGCGGTCGGGGCGGGGGCGGCAGTCAGCTCTCGGTCTCCTCGTCGCTCAGCAGCATGTTGGGGATCCCGCGGCTGATGGGGAACAGCCGTCCGGATTCCGGGCACTGCAGCGTGCCCTCCAACACCTCCACCTCCAGCAGCACATGGTGCATCTTGTGCAGAAATGCCTCGTCGCACTCGTAGCCCTCAACCTGCTCCTTGGGCACCTCCGCCTGGTGCAGGGTGTTGGCCGCCTCCAGGAGCGCCGCCCACTCCACTTTGGGGATCATCCACGCCACGAAGGGGGGTTTAACTCCACAGGGTTGATGTGCACCTCGGTGGCCTGCGGGGCAGAGAGCATCAGTCGGGCAGGGGCGGGAGCCGCGCACAGGGGCCGGAGGCCGCCCCTGCCCATACCTGCAGGCGCAAGGGGAAGCCGTGGGGACCCCAAGTTGTGCCATTTTTAAACAAGCCCTACTTGGTCATACCGGCATCTTCTCAGCCAGGGGCTAGTGCACTGGCTATGCACGTTTCTTTGCTTATCGTTCTAAAGATTTATTTATTTAATAGGCAGAGAGATGGACAGAGCTCCTATGCACTGGTTCACTCCCCAGATGCCTACAACAGCCGGGGCTGGGCCAGGGTTTAAACCAGCACCTGGAAAGTCAATCCAGGTCCCCCAGGACTCAGTCACTTGAGCTGCCTCCCAGGGTCTGCAGGAAGCTGGAGGCAGGAGCTAGAGCCCGGTAGAGAAACCGGACACTCTTATGTAGGACGTAGGCTTTTTTTTTTTTTTTTTTTTTTGACAGGCAGAGTGGACAGTGAGAGAGAGACAGAGAGAAAGGTCTTCCTTTTCCATTGGTTCACCCTCCAATGGCCGCTGCGGCCTGCGCACTGCACTGATCTGAAGCCAGGAGCCAGGTGCTTCTCCTGGTCTCTCATGGGGTGCAGGGCCTAAGCACCTGGGCCATCCTCTACTGCACTCCCAGGCCACAGCAGAGAGCTGGCCTGGAAGAGGGGCAACCGGGAGAGAATCCGGTGCCCTGACCGGGACTAGAACCCTGGGGTGCCCAGTGCCGCAGGCAGAGGATTAGCCTATTGAGCCTTAGCGCAGGCCAGGATGTGGGCATTTTAACCACCCGGCTAAACACTCACTCCCTGCTGGCAGCCTTTTTTTTTTTTTTTTTAATTTATTTATCTATTTATTTGAAAGTAAGTTACACTTGGAGAGGCAGAAAGAAAGAGAGGGGGGGGGTCTTCCATCCTCTGGTTTGCTCCCCAGTTGGCAGCAACAGGCGGAGCTGCGCCGATCTGAAGCCAGGAGACAGGAGCTTCTTCCGGGTCTCTCACATGGGTGCAGGGTCCCAAGGACTTGGGCCATCTTCTACTGCTTTCCCAGGCCACAGCAGAGAGCTGGATGGGAAGTGGAGCATCCAGGACTTGAACTGACACCCACATGGATGCTGGCACTGCAGGCGGCAGCCTCACCTACTACGCTACAGTGCTGGCCCCACTGCTTGCTTTATAAAGAGAAGAAGTGCAGTGAGGGCTCCTCCCAAGAGACTCCTGTGTGGGGAGCAGGGCAGAGAGCCTCCCCCAGAGTGCTCACCTCCAGAGACCCCAGGGAGTCAGGCGTACTGAGCAAGGGCTTCTCCCGGGGGGCTCTGGGGAGTGCGTCTCTAGCCGGAGTCTCCCCCTTTCATCCCTTGTCCCTCCCCTACCCCCAGGAGAAGGTCCCCAGGCTTCCTTGCTCAGGTCTTCTCCGGGAAGACCTCTCTCTGTCCCAGTGCGGGCCTCACCCTCCTCTCTTGAATTCTGAGGACACTCAGAGTCAGACCCACGTGGGTCTATGTCCTCCCCGTCGGGTCCCAGGCTCCTCCATCCCCGGCACCAGGTGGCCCACAGATGTCTCTGGCCGGGGAGGCGCAGGGTGACACCCGCCTTACCAGGTGCCTTGCTGATTCTGCCTCCTCCCTGCAGCTCTCACAGGGGCCTTGGGACATCAGGCCTGTTCTGGAAGGACTCTGGGGGTCGGACCTGGCCTCCCAGGTGCACATAAGCCACTTGGTCTCTGCAGGTCTCTGGACATCTCCAGGGTCATCTGCATCTGTTCCCTGAGTCTCCCCTCCGGACATCCCTGCACCCCACTCTGGGCCCCGGTGTGTTCAGGGGGAGTCCCCACCTCCGTGCTGGCTGTGTGCCCCCTTCAGACCCCGAGGTTCAAGTGCTGTGGGCTTTTGCCTCTCTTCCTATTCCCCCCTTCTTCCATCAGCTAACGATTGTTTGGGGAATGGAACCCGCTATCCCTCTCCTAGACCTGTGCCGGGTCTCTTTAGGGCAAGGGTCAGGGGAGTCATGTCACGGCCACGTGACTGCTGCTGGCACCTCACTCCCCCTGCCCCCCTGCTGTTCTGGAAACTCGTTGCGGACCTTGCCTCCCGCTCACTTGAACAGAGAGACCTAGGCAGCAAGGTACCAGGCTCATCTCTGCCGTGGTGGACAGCGGCCACTGATGGCGGCATTCACCACTTTGTTCTCACCCGCCTGTTCCCACCAGCTTCCTCCCTGGATGCATTTCTTTGCCTTTATTAACAAAATATTAATTTTGTTTATTTGAAAGGTAGAATTAGAGAGAAAGAAAGGGAAGGAGTGAGAGAGAGAGAGGGAGGGAATTTTCCATCTGCTGGTTTACTCCCCGGTTGGCTGCAGAAGCCAGGAGCCAGGAGCTTCCCCTGGGTCTCCCACATGGGTGCAGGGACCCAAGGACTTGGGCCATCTTCCACTCTTTCCCATGCACATTGGCAGGGAGCTGGATCGGAATCGGAGCACCCGGGATTTGAACCTGCGCCTACTTCCTCCTCCTTACCTGTGCCCTGGAAGCTGGGACTGAGCTGGGGTGGAGCCTCCAGCTGGTCCGGACCAGGTTGAGTGCGCTGGCCAAGCAGAGAATGACCGCCGCTCTGCTCACAGATTTTATCCTGATGGCTGACTCGAAGCCGCTGCCCTGCGCGGATGGGGACCCCGTGGCCATGGAGGCCCTGCTCCGGGAGGTGTTCTCGATTGTGGTGGATGAGGCCGTCCTGAAAGGGACCAGCGCCTCTGAGAAGGTGGGTGCTTCTGTCTCCCTTCCCAAACCTGGCTCAGCACTTCCCTTTTTAAATGAGGCTCCTCCTCAAAGTTCTCACGGTCTCCTGTGTGCCCCCGGGGGTCTCCATCCTGGGCTGTGTCTGCCTGGCATGAGGTGGGTGTCAGTGCACTTGTGTCCGGGGCTTCCGTCGTCCCTGGCTTCTCCTCCCAGGTCTGCGAGTGGAAGGAGCCTGAGGAGCTGAAGCAGCTGCTGGATTTGGAGCTCCGGGGCCAGGGGGAGCGGCGGGAGCAGCTGCTGGAGCGCTGCCGCGCGGTGATCCGCTACAGCGTGAAGACCGGTGGGCCCTGGCTCCCGGCGGGAGGGCACGCGGGGAAGGGATCAGCACCCATGCCGCAGCCACGCTGAGCTGCTGCTTCCCGCTCCCCCAGGTCACCCTCGGTTCTTCAACCAGCTCTTCTCAGGCTTGGATCCGCACGCTCTGGCCGGGCGTATCATCACCGAGAGCCTCAATACCAGCCAGTGAGCCACCCCTCCCACCTGGCGAGGACTTGGGCTTGCTGGAGAGGTGCCCGGCTTTTGCCTCCCCCTCCCACCCCTCCCCAGCCCGGGCCCCTGTTCTGCAGGCTTTCACCTGCTTCCTTGCTGTGCGGCATCCACTCGTTCCTCTCTTTGGAGCCCACCACCTGCTTTCCTGACTCCGCGGTGGCTTGACTCAGCGTTTGCTCTGCTGCCAGGTACACGTATGAAATCGCCCCCGTGTTTGTGCTGATGGAAGAGGAGGTGCTGAGCAAGCTGCGGGCCCTGGTGGGCTGGACCTCCGGGGACGGGGTCTTCTGCCCCGGTATGTGAGAGGGGGGCAGGGCTCCTTAAGCGCACCCCCTCCCCGCCCCGCCTTCTCCTGTAGGAAGTAGCTGGTGGAGAGGGTGGGGGTGGTCCCTCTGTGTTTTCTCTCCAGCTGGGCGCTGGCCAGGCGGGGGAGGAGGCCATCCAGTGCCCCTGTTTGCCCACAGGGGTCACTGCGAGGCTGCTTGATGGGGGGTGGGGGTGGCCCAGGGTGTGTATGTGCTGGGGGAGAGTTGGGGGGAGCTGTTGATCCTGGGGCTGGAGTCTTGTGCCGAACCCTGGGCCCACTTCTTTGACAAGTTCCTCTAGGGGCAAAAGGTCAGGGGAGGCGGGCACCTTTCTTGACCCACTCCCTCCGCCCCCGCGGCAGGTGGCTCCATCTCCAACATGTACGCCCTGAACCTGGCCCGCTATCACCGCTACCCGGAGTGCAAACAGAGGGGCCTCCGGGCGCTGCCGCCCCTGGCCCTCTTCGCGTCGGAGGAGGTGGGGAAGAGGCGCGCCCAACGCTGGGCTCTGGGTCCAGGGCCCCTCCTGCCCCACCTCATCCCCAGGCCCCTGTTTTCTTCTAATCAAGGGCCTCGGGCCTTCTGCGTGTGGGTGGGGAGCGCGTGGGTGGGGCACACACCTATGCTGCCTAGCAGCCTGGGCAGCACCCGGGAGCTTGGCCCCGCCGCGCCAGACCCAGCGCCCAGCCAACAGCTGTGTGCGCAGACATTGGAGACACTGGAGAGGCCCCAGGCTTTCCCACACCGGAGACTCTCGCCCACTGGCCGCCCGCCCACGCCGTGCTAACCTGCCCTCTTCCGCTCTCTGCAGTGCCACTATTCCATCAAGAAAGGAGCCGCTTTCCTGGGACTTGGCACCGACAGCGTCCGAGTGGTCAAGGCTGATGAGAGGTGAAGGTCCCTCTGCCCACAGGACTGCCGGGCCGCGCCGCCCCCGCAGAACCATTGCCGCCGCCGGCCCGCCCAGGGCCCCCTGTCCGGGGAAGACCAGCCGTCTGCCCTCTGCCTGCCTGAGCCCCTCACCCTGCTCTCTGCCCGCTGCCTTTTCTTTTTCAGAGGGAAGATGGTCCCCGAGGATCTGGAGAGGCAGATCCGCCTGGCCGAGGCCGAGGTGAGCCGAGAGGGGCGCGGGGTCCGCAGGACGGCCCCTCTGCCCCTGCCACGGGCACCTTCACCCTCCTTTTATGTCCCCACGCCCGTCAGCCACGGGGCAACGCTAGGCTGCTCTCAAGGACCCTGCCGAGGCGGGTGGGGTTCTGGGAGGCAGGACTCCGGGGAGGGTGCAGGGGGGACCCCCAAGGGCAGTGTGGACGCGCCTTGTGTGGGTGGGGTGGAGGATGTGGGCTGGGAGTGGGGAAGAGGGTGGCTACCTTCCTCCACTTGGCGGGGGGTGTGTGTGTGCAAGCTGCTGCCGCTGCCGTGGAGCTCCAGCCTTGCATAGCCGTACAGTTTCAGTTTTTAAAAAGATGTATTTATTTATTTGAAAGCGTTACACAGAGAGAGGAAGAGAGAGAGAGAGAGGTCTTCCATCTGCTGGTGCAGTCCCCAAGTGGCTGCAGGTGCAGGGGCTGGGCTAGGCAGAAGCCAGGAGCCAGGAGCTTCTCCCACATGAGTGCAGGGGCCCAAGCACTTGGGCCAGCCTCAGCTGCTTTCCCAGGTGCATCGGCAGGGAGCTGGATTGGAAGTGGAGCGGCGGGACTTAAACTGGTGCTCCGATCAGGATGTGGGCGTTGCAAGCAGAGGCTTAATCGCTGCACTGCAACACCCATCCCCCAACTCCAGTGCAGTTTTTAATGTATCTAGTCACGGATTCAGCCTTCCAGTGCTCAGAGTTTATGCTATAAATCAGCACCACCAGTGTGTAAAATTCTGTGCCAGAGAATTCTGTTTCCTGGAGCCAAGTGTAACTTTTTTCCCCCCAATGTTCTTAAGTAGACAAAAGAAATTATCATCTGTATGTCTCAGTTTCTTCCTCTGCAAAACGGGCATGCTATAGAACCAACCACAGGGCTGTTTGAAAGATTACGCGAATTAGTTTATGTAAAGCACTTCACAGCGCCAGGCTGGTGGATGCACCGTGTAAATATTAGCTGCCCTTGTTATTTACTATAACTGAGTACCCTGTAGCCACTTGAAACAAGGTAGGAATACACACACACACACACACACACACACAAGCCAATGTGAAAATACTTACGGGGGCGGGGCAAAAAATAAGCTACTTGTGTATTAAAGGTGTATTGCAGCCGGCGCTGCGGCTCACTAGGCTAATCCTCTGCCTTGTAGCGCCGGCACACCGGGTTCTAGTCCCGGTCGGGGCGCCGGATTCTGTCCCAGTTGCCCCTCTTCCAGGCCAGCTCTCTGCTGTGGCCCGGGAGTGCAGTGGAGGATGGCCCAAGTCCTTGGGCCCTGTACCCCATGGGAGACCAGGATAGGTACCTGGCTCCTGCCATCGTATCAGCGCGGTGCACCGGCCGCGGCGGCCATTGGAGGGTGAACCAACGGCAAAGGAAGACCTTTCTCTCTCTCTCTCTCTCACTGTCCACTCTGCCTGTAAAAAAAAAAAAAAAAAAGGTGTATTGCAAGTTGTAGTATAGACTGGGCACTGTGATGCATTTTTATTATGTAGCACACTGATTACTTTTATATATTTATATATACATATGTAAATGTATAAATCTGGGTAGCAGTATGGACTGCGATTAGAACAGCAGGGTTTCACTCTCTAATTTTGTAAACTTTGTGTTTTGGTAATAGCTTTATTGAGGTATAACTCACATGACACGTGGCCCACCCACGTAGAGCATACGGTTTTTAGCATCTTCATGGAGTCGGGCAGCTGCGTGTGCAGTCAGTGTTGGAATATCGTCATCAGCCCCAAAGCGACCTCATCCTCTTGAGCCCCCACTCTCCAGTTCTCCCAGAAGCGCCCCGTTCCAGGCAGCCCGCCTTCTGCTCTGGGCCCCATGGGTTGGCCCGTCCTGCACTCTGGAATCACGCTGTAGGTGACGAGCTGCCCTTGTGTCTCGTTGTGGCTTCAAGGCTCAGCTGTGCAGCAAGGGCCAGTGCTTTGTTCCTTGATGTGCAACATGCAGGCTTGTGTTCCATGGAACGGGTGCACTGCATTTGACGCCTCCATTCATCATGTTGATGGACATCTGGGTGGTTTGCGTCTTTCGGCTGTTAGGAGTAACGCTGCTTAAGCACGCTTGCCTACGGGCTGTTGTGCGGGCTGTGTTGTTCATTCCTCTGTGTTGTTAAGTGTGAGTAAGATTGCTGGCTCAAATGATAACTCCTGTTTATTTGAAAGTCAGAGTTACAGAGAGGTCTTCCATCCACTGGTTCACTCCCCAGGTAACCCCAGCGGCCAGGGCTGGGCCAGGCCAAAGCTGGAGCTGGGAACTCCATCTGGGTCTTGCATGTGGGTGGCAGGGGCCCAAGCACTTGAGCCATCTTTCCGCTGCTTTCCCAGGCACATCAGCAGGGAGCTGGATCGGAAGTGGAGCAGCCAGGACTAGAACCGGCACCCATATGGGATGCCGGCGTCCCAGGCAGTGGCGTAACCCGCTGCACCCCAGTGTCAGACAACTCTAATCTTTGGGAGAACTGCTGCCTGGCTGTTTCCTAAAGGGGCTGCACCTGTTTAATCCCACCAACAGCTTCGGAGGGCTCCAGCTGCTGCACACTTGCTTTGGTCTCCCTTTGATTGCAGCCACTTAATGGGCGCCCGCTGTAGCTGTGGCTGTGGCTGTGGTTGTGGCTATGGCTGTGGCTGTGGCTGACGGCCTTGAGGATCTGATCACGTGTTTCCCGGGCCTCTGTGTGTCTTCCTTGAAGGCAGATCCGTTCAGATCCTTCTCCCAGTGCGGGGAGACACATTCATTAGTGTGGCAGCTGCAGCGGGGCCTGAGGACGGGGTACTGGTGCTCTCTGGGGGCACAGCACGGGAGAACTGACCTAGCTGGGAGGTGCAGCAGTCGGGGATGGCTTCCCTCAGGAGTGACAGTTGAGCTGGGACTGAAAGGGAAAATGGATTTAGCCAGGTGGCGGGTGGGTGGGGGGAGAAGGACTTGATAAGCCTGCCGAGCGGCCCTGGGATTGAGGCCTGGTAGCCTTTGCCTGGAGTGGGCCCACTCCCCACCTGCTCCTCCCGGGGTCCTTGCTTCCGAGGCTACTGCTGCCTCCCCCCTTTGACTCCCCGTCACCCAGGGCTGGGTGCAGGGATGTGGAGCTGTTCTGCAGCACTTTGCTTTGTGACAATGACCAGAGGGCATTACTGCAGCTATCGAGAGGGGACCAAGGATTCTAAACGTTCTGCAGTGGGCAGGCGTAGCTGCACACTGTCCCGCCCAGAGTGCTGTTAGGGTCCCTGTTGAGAGGCTCCTGCCCATTCTTCTTCTTTGTGTGTGTGTGCGTGTGTGTGTGTAACATGACATTTTACCATCTTAGCCGCGTTTACACATACGGGTCAGCAGTGCCAAGTTTTTTCATAGTGTTTGTGCCGCTGGTCCCAGAACTCTTTTCATGTTGCAAAACTGAAACTCTGCACCCACTGAACCAAGCTGTCCGCTATCCCAGCCCCAGCCCCTGGCCACTGCCATTCTCCTTGGTGTCTATGAATTTGACTCCCCTACATATCCCGAGTAACTGGAATCCTGCAGTGTCTGTCCGTCTGTGACTGGCTTATTTCACGTTTCCGCTGTATGCATAGACTGCATTTTGCTTATACATCCACCCATCAGGAGATACTGTGAATGGAGCTGTTGGGAGCAGGTGTGTATCAGTGTCTCTTTGAGACCCTGTATTGATCCATTCTTCATCACTCTAACCAAATACCTGAAGCTGTGTAACCTTATGAAGAAAAGAGGTTTATTCTGGTTCACCGTTCTGCGGGACAGGGAGTGCATGTGCGTCTCTTCTTGCCTCTCCCACTTCAGTCACGGTGGTTCTGTTCCAGGCCCTTACCTGAATCACCTCACAAAGGCCCCGCCTCCAAACACCCAAGTGGGGTGAAGCTTCTGCCCTCCTATTACCTGGCAGTGGGATGAACTTTGAACCCCTGAGCCCTGGGGTGGGGTGGGGGACTCACTCAAATGATATGCAAAGATATGCAAGCCATAGCACCTTCCCTGCTTTCAGATTCTGGGGAGAGTTTATAAGCAGAGGTGGAATCACTGGAGCAGGGATAACTCTGCTTTTGACTGTGTGGGCACTGTCGCTTCCTTTCTCCGGCAGTGCGGGACGATTCTAACTTCCCTCCATCCTCACCCAGATCCTCTGCATCTCCACCTCCTCCATCGTTTGAGTGTTTGAGAGTCACCACAGCTTTTATTTCCTTTTCCCTGCATCCGGTCAGGTGCTCATCAGCCACTTGTGTGTGGTCTTTGGAGAAATGTCTACTCAGATCCTCGGCTCATGTCTTTTTTTTTTTTTTTTTTTAATTGGGTTGTCTTTTCGGTGAGTTCTTCATATATTCTAGATCCAAGTCCCTTATCGGATATATGATTTGTAAATATCTTCTTCCATTTTGTAGACTGTCTTTCCATTTTATTGGCGGTGCCCTTGGAAGAGCAAATGTTTTAGATTTTGATGAAATCCAATTTATATATTTGTCTCGGGTTGCTTGTATGTTTGGTGTCTCCTCTAATGTAACGCAAGCTCACAGAGGTCCTCCTCCATTTTCTTCCAGGAGTTTTACAGGTTTGTGGTTCGTTGAGTTCACTCTGGGGTATGGTGTTGCGTCATTCTTTTGCGTGTGCATATCCAGTTGGCCCAGGACCGTTTGTTGAAAATGCTGTTCTTCCTCCGATGAGCTGACTTGGTGTCCTTGTTGAGAGTCAGCTGAGTGTGAGGATTTATTTCTGCATCCTGAGTTGTGTCCTGTTCACCTACACGTCTGTCCTAGAACATTGTCTTCACGGCTGTAGCCTTGTAGCAAGTTTTGGGCTTGGCATGTGTAAGACCTCCGTTGCTATTATTTATTTTAAGGATTTATTTGAAAGGCAGAGTGACGGGGTGGGGGGGGGAGGGAGAGAGAGAGAGAATCTTCTATCTACTGGTTCACCCCCCAAGTGGCTACAACAGCTGAGGCTGGCCCAGGTCAAAGTCAGGAACCAGGACCCCCACCCGGGTTCCCTGCGAGGGTTGCAGGTGCCCATCCTCCGCCGCCTTCCCACGCACATCAGCAGGGAGCTGGGCTGGAAGTAGAGCAGCGGGGACTGGCGCTTTTATGGGATGCTGGCATATCAGGGGCAGCTTAGCCTACTGTACCACAACACTAGCCCCAAACCTCCATTAAAAAAAAAATCTGTATTTAGTTTTAAAGGCAGAATGACAGCGAGTAGGAGACACGGAAGCCAAGGACTCCATCCAGGTCTCTCATGTGGGTGGCGGAATCCAAGATTCTCTGCCCTCCCAGGCATGTAAGCAGGAAGCTGAGTCAGAGCCAGGACCCAGCTGGCTCCTGACATGGGGTGCAGGCGTCCCAAGTGGCAGCTCACCCTGTTGTGCTCCAGGCCTTGCCCAAGGCCTCTAGGGTTGCCCTTTCCAGGATGGTTTTGGCTCAGCTGGGTCTCAGGAATTTCCATGTGGATTCAGGATCAGCTGGTCAGTTTCTCCCAGGATGGTGGCTGGGATTTTGCTAGGGACTGAGTTCCACCCCAGGCAGTGTCTCTCCCTTCATTTAGGGCTTCTTGAATTCCTTTCCAGTGTTTTTGTAGTTTTCAGAGTATATGTTGCACTTCTTTTGTTAAACTCATTCCTGAGTGGGTTTTTTTTTTTTTTATGTTCTCAAAAGTGAAACTATTTTCTTCATTTCAGTTTGATTGTTCATTGCTCATATACAGAAATATAGTTGTTTTGTTGTATATTCTGGTTTTTGGAAGTCAGTGAACTAGTTTCAGTTTTTTTTTTTTTTTTTTAATGTATGTATTTATTTGAAAGACAGAGGGAGAGAGAGAGAGAAAGGTTTTCCATCTGCTGGTTCACTCCCCAAATGGCTGCAATGGCTGGAGTGGTGCCAATCCAAAGCCAGGAGCCAGGCGCTTCCTCTAGATCTCCCATGCAGGCCAACTTGGGCCAACCTCTACTGCTTTCCCAGGCCATAGCAGAGAGCTGGATTGGAAGTGGAACAGCTGGGACTCAAACCAGCGCCCATATGGGATGTTGGCATTGCAGGCGGCGGCTTTGCCTGCTGCGCCAAAACACTTGCCCCTTAAAAGCGTTTTTATTCATTTAGTTCATTTATTTGAGAGACAGAGAGGAGCCGATAGAGCTCTCATCTGCTGGTTCACTTTCTGAGTGCTGCAACAGCTTGGGCTGGGCCAGGCTGAAATGAGTTGGGAACTCAGTACTGGTGTCCCATGTGGGTGGCAGGGACCCAGACACTGAGGCCATCACCTGCTGCCCCCCGCCCCCGCATTAGCAGGAGTCTGGGACTGGCACCCAGGCACTCCCGTCTGGGAGGCTGGCATCCCAAGGGCAACTTGACCACTCGGGCAAACGCCTGCCCCTCCAGGTAGGGTTTTTTTTTTTTCTTTTAAAGAGATTTATCTATTTTGAAAGAGAAAGAACTTCCATCCACTGGTTCACTCCCCAAAATGGCCACAACAGCCAGAGCTGGACCAGGCCAAAGCAGGAGCTTCATACACATGGATTCAGGGGCCCATAGGCTTGGGCCGTCTTCCACTGCTTTCCCAGGTCATCAGCAGGGAGCTGGACCGGAAATGGAGCAGCCGGGACAGGAAACAGCATTGTCACGGGTGGCGGGAGTTTCTGGAATGACTCTGTGGCCTTTTCTCCCTCTACATTCTCACAACAGGGAGCGGTGCCATTCCTGGTCAGCGCCACGTCTGGCACGACCGTGCTGGGGGCCTTCGACCCGCTGGAGGCCATCGCTGACGTGTGCCAGCGTCACGGGCTGTGGCTGCACGTGGATGTGAGCGGGACACGGGCCTGGGGCTGGGGCTGGGGCTGGGGCTGGGGCTGGGCCGAATCCAGGCCGAGGCCCATGTTGTACCTCCTGCTGCACAGGCCGCCTGGGGCGGGAGCGTGCTGCTGTCACAGACACACAAGCATCTCCTGGATGGGATCAGCAGGTGCGCGGGGGGGCCCCCTCTCCCTGGACCCCACCCTTCAGAGAACAGGATGAGGCTGGGGGGCAGGGGGAAGAGGGCTGGGGGGAGGGGTCTAGAGCCATGGCGCCTTAGAGCTGGGAGGTCAGACATGGAATTCTGGGGCTGGGAGCCTGGCAAGAGAGGAGAGGCTCCGACCGCACCTCAAGGGGGCGCCACTGACCCAGATTTGCTCTGCATCGCCCAGGGCTGACTCCGTGACCTGGAACCCCCACAAGCTCCTGGGAGCCGGCCTGCAGTGCAGTGCCCTCCTGCTCCGGGACACCTCGGTGGGTGGGCCCCAGCCCCCAGCCCCCAGCCCCCAGCCCCCAGCCCTGGCCCACCTCTCTCTGCAGCTGCCTTCCTCCCTGTCCCACCATAGAGGGCTCCAGGTCTTACTTCTTATTACCCTCTGCCTCGCAATCTGTGCAGCCACCCCAGCCCCCTCTGCTGGGCCCCTAGCTACCCCCCCAACCCTTCCTGTCTTCCCATCTTCATGCAAAGGGCAAGACTTCTGGCTTGAAGCTGCAGACAGATCTCGGGCAGAGTTTGACCAGCAGTCTAGGTGCTGGGGGGTGGGGTGGGGGTGGGATGGGTGGGGAGCCAGAGAAGGGCTGGGGCAGCAGGCAGCTGTGGCCGCGGTGCTGCCTGGTCCCAGGGCCCAGTGGCCGGGGCGGGCTCTAACCAGGTACCTGACCGCCCCCACACAGAACCTGCTCAAGCGCTGCCACGGCTCCCAGGCCAGCTACCTTTTCCAGCAGGACAAGTTCTACGACGTGGCCCTGGACACGGGGGACAAAGTGGTGCAGTGCGGCCGCCACGTGGACTGCCTGAAGCTGTGGCTCATGTGGAAAGCACAGGGTGGCCAGGGCCTGGAGCTGCGAGTGGACCGTGCCTTCGCCCTGGCCCGGTAGGTGGGGGTGGTCCCTGGCTCCCCTCTGCCCGCCCCATCTGCGGCTCTCGGGTTGGCTACCTGTGTCTCTGCCTTTCCCCCTCCCTGGCCAGTGGGTCATTCTCGCCCTCTGTCCGCAGGTACCTGTTGGAGGAGGTGAAGAAGCGGGAAGGGTTTGAGCTGGTCATGGAGGTACGAGCTGGGTGCAGGGGCCTCTGCGCACCCCAAACCCCGCTGGGGAAGCCGGGCAGCGAAAGGAAAGACGTCCCCATGCCCTCCTCGCCCACACCTTCCCCTTCCTTGTTCCCGCAGCCTGAGTTCCTCAACGTCTGTTTCTGGTTCGTGCCGCCCAGCCTGCGGGGCCAGCAGAGGAGCCCAAATTATAGCCAGAGGCTGGCCCAGGTGCGTGCTCACCTGCCGGCCGCGCCCTGCGCCGGTGCCCGCTCACGCTGCTGGCACCAGGGGATCAGTGCAAGCCCTTGGGGCTCGGTGCGCAATGCAGGACAGGGCAAGTACGCCGAGCGATCCACTCCAATGCTTTGGGTGGGCGGGGGGACAAGACCACCGTGCAGCCATCGATGCATGAATCTACGGCTAGAAGAAGACCTTTCTCCCGCAGGCGGTCGGAAGGATGATGAGTTGGTTCTCTTAATAACAGAGTTGCAGCGACCAACTGTTCAAAACCAGCACCGCCCGGGGTGGGGGTGGGGGTGGGGGTGGGGGTGGGAGAGGTGAGGGAGTCTGGCCCCGAGTGCCGCCCAGGGTGGGGTTGGGGGGTTGGGAAGAGGCGAGGGGGGGAGTTGGGGTGGGGAAGGTGTGGGGTCCGGCCCCAAGCGCTTCCCCGGGGTTGGGGGTGCGCCCCTCACCTGGCCCGCGCCGCCCCTGCAGGTGGCGCCCGCACTCAAGGAGCGCATGGTGAAAGAGGGCTCCATGATGATCGGCTACCAGCCGCACGGGGCCCGGGTCAACTTCTTCCGCGTGGTGGTAGCCAACCCCGCGCTCACCCGCGCCGACGTGGACTTCCTGCTGGACGAGCTGGAGCGGCTGGGCCGGGACCTGTGAGCCTCCAGGATGCCCCTGGGATGCAGTGCCACTCTTTCATTAAGATTACGTTTATAGAGAGATTTTTATTAATATGAAAAAGTAACTTTAACATAATATGTCAGGAAAGCTGGCTGTAAGACTTTCTAGTAAATTCTGAGCTCTATTGAAGAATGCATAGGAAAAGAAAAGATGATGAGTGAGATGTGCCAAAATGATAGCGGTTTTCCATAGGAAGTACAAATAGGAAATTTAAAAATCTATTCCTTTGTTGTCTCCCCTTTTATTATGTAACTAATATAAATCGCCTTGGTAGTAGGAAAATAATAAAGTTAAAATTACAATTACATTTTGGTATGTTTTGAAGTTTGTTACTTTTAGACCAGTGATGCAGGATTTTTTTCTTTCTTTCTTTCTAAAAGGCTGTGGTGCAGTGGGTTGAGCTGGCACGGGGCACGCATCCCTTGCTGGAGGGCCGGTTCAAATCCCGGCTCCTCCGCTTCTGATCCAACTCTCTGCCCATGTGCTGGGAAGGCGGTGGGTTGGGTTCCTGGGAAGGCAAAGTGCTCGGGCCCCTGCCGCCCCCGTGGGAGATCCAGATGAGCTCCAAGCCTGGCCCAGATGTGGCTTTGTGGTCATTTGGAGAATGAACCTTTCTCTCTGTCTCTCGCTGTAGCTCTCAAATAAATAAATCTTTCTTTAAAAAGGTAGGTGTAAGACTAAATTCAAGAATAGTTTTTTTTCACCAAAGGAATCTTTTGTGGGGAAGAAAAAACCAAACATGGACTCATTGTAAAATCAACTGTACTTTCATGATAATGAAAACAAAATGGGCATGAACTGCGCCTGGGTGCACCCACGCTGTTAGGAAAAACCTCACACACACAGAGATTGCTCCCTGTCACTTAAACAACCAATAACCGACAACAGATCTAAAAAGACTGCCAGCAAGGACAAGCTGGCATCAGCCCCTGCTGGGCCCTGCTGTGTCTGCGCCCCTTCTGTCTCTGGCAGGCGGAAGCATCCACTCACCACTAAGAACCCTGGCTCTGGTGCCTCCCGGTCACTCTCTGGGAAGGAGGGATTTAGCCACCAGAATTGCCAAGGACAATCAGCATGGCTACAAGAACCTTTTGGGTTTTTATTTTTGTTTTTTAAATTATTTATTTGAGAGGTAGAGTTAGAGACATGAAGAGAGGTCTTCCATCCAATGGTTCACTCCCAAGATGGTCACAATGGCTGGAGCTGGGCTGATCTGAAGCCAGGAGCCAGGAGCTTCATCCGGGTCTCCCACGTGGGCGCAGGGACCCAGGGACTTGGGCATCTTTTACTACTTTCCATGCCATAGCAGGGAGTTGGATCAGAGGTGGAGCAGCCGGGACTTGAACCAGCGCCCACATGGGATGCCGGTGCCATAGGCAGAGGCTTAACCCACTACACCACAGCGCCGGCCCCCCTTTTGTTATTTCCAGCTCCTCAAGATGTGTATTAAAACAGTATGGTGGGCCGGCGCCGCGGCTCACTAGGCTAATCCTCCGCCTTGCGGCGCCAGCACACCGGGTTCTAGTCCCAGTCAGGGGGCCGGATTCTGTCCTGGTTGCCCCTCTTCCAGGCCAGCTCTCTGCTGTGGCCCGGGAGTGCAGTGGAGGATGGCCCAAGTGCTTGGGCCCTGCACCCACATGGGAGACCAGGATAAGTACCTGGCTCCTGCCATTGGATCAGTGCGGTGCGCCAGCCGCAGCACACTGGCTGCGGCGGCCATTGGAGGGTGAACCAACGGCAAAGGAAGACCTTTCTCTCTGTCTCTCTCTCTCACTGTCCACTCTGCCTGTCAAAAACAAAACAAAACAAAACAAAATAAAACAAACAAACAAAAAAACACAGTATGGTGGTCATGTGAAAGTCAGCCCAAGGGGCTGTCGCTCTAAGTGGGAAAAGCCACCACCTGCAGTGCCAGCATCCCATATGGACGCTGGTTCGAGTCCTGGCTGCTCCTCTTCCAATCCAGCTCTCTGCTATGGCCTGGGAAAGCAGTAGAAGATGGCTCAAGTCCTTGGGCTCCTGCACCCATGTGGGAGACCTGGAAGAAGCTCCTGGCTCCTGGCTCCTGGCTTTGGATCAGTGCAGCTCCAGCTGGTGCAGCCAATTGGGGAGTGAACCAGTAGATGGAAGATCTCTCTTCTCTCTCTCTCTCTCTCTGCCTCTCTGGAATTCTGCCTTTCAAACAAATAAATAAATCTTGAAAAAAAAGAAAAAGCCCAAGTTGTTTGAAGAGGCAAATGCAGAGCTGCAGACAGGGGCAGGGGAGTGGCCGGTGCACAGGCCCCGGGCTCTGGACGGTTTGGCGGTTTGGCGGAGCAGAGGCCCTGTCTTCACAAATTCCTCCCAAGTCTCTAAGCTTTGTTATTCTCCATATAAATCACCCGCCCGCTTGAAAGTAGTGCATCTCCAAGTGCCGCCCTCAGATTGACGGCATCAGCCCGCCCTGGAAACTTGTTCAAAGTGAACATTCAGGCCGCCTCGGGCTGTGGGGGCTGGCAGTCTAGGGGGACAAACTGGAGATGGCGCCTGGGCACGGTCAGGTTCACTAACTGCCCCTTTAAGCCATTTCTGTTCCTTTCCACTTCCGTCTCTGAACACCTGCCTCTCCTCGGCCGTGTGGCTGCTGGGGCCGGTGCACGGGGGGCCTCAGCTTCAGGCTTGGATTTAGGGCTAGCTGGAAGAAGGCCCGGGCTGGAGGCCCGGACGAGAGTGAGTCAGTGCCTCCTGGGCCGAGGTTATTAGAGCTGTTTGCCCACTGGAAGGCTCGGGAACCCCTTTGAAAGAGATACGCGGCGAAACCAACGACCAGGACCACCTACGGAGGTTCAGGTGAGGAACGAGAAGCAAAGCCAAACTAAAACACCAAGACCCCTTACCACTTGCTGAAACTTAAACAGTCCCGCCCCCCCCCCCCGCCCCCATCAGCGTACTGCATTGAAAGAGACAAGGGCCCCGCCAAGACTCACTGCAGTGGCTTGGAAGGACAAGCGGAAAATTATTTCAAAGCGCAGCACAAATCACATGAAGGGATGGAAATAATGAGACTTGGAGAACAGAGCCAGTCGTCCCAACGTTAAAATATCGTGGTTGCAAAAGGGGGCAAGGGACCAGACGGAGGAGAAGCAGCAATCGAGGAAGAGAAGGAGGAGGTTTGCCTGAGTTGCAGGCAGATCTGAGCTTGCACACGGACAGGGCATAGAAAGCCCCAAGAGCAGGTGTACCTGGATGCGCAGAACTCCCGGATGCCAAGGTGACGGAAAAACATTTTCGAGGTTCAGACAGAAAGAGCGAGTCATTCACAAGGGAAATTGCATCAGCCCGGCATGGGGCTCGTCGGGGGCAACGCTGGGAGCTACACGTGGGGAACACACAGGAAGGGGTGGCTGCACCAGGGTCTCGTACCCGGCTCCCAGAGCACTCCGTGTTGGGGTAGAAAGCACCATGTGAGGGGCTGAAGGATTCAGAGGGTCACCGTCCCCTTCCTCGCCTGAGGGAAATCCTGAGGGCAGAGGGAGGAAGGCGAACAGAACAAAGAGCAAGTGCTGAGTGGCAAACCTGGCGCCCATGTTTCTGCAGCCTGCGAAACCTCTGCTGCAGCCGTCTCTGAACCCTGGGGTCCCTGTGGGCCCCACAGATGCTCAAGTCCCTGATGGCAAATGCCGTGTCCACTTCACATAAGCTAGGCACATGCTCCATTGTACTTTATTTTTTTTTATTTAAAAATTTATTTTATTTATTTGAAAGGCAGAGTTACAGAAAGAGGTAGAGAGAGAGAGAGAGAGAGAGGTCTTCCATCCACTGGTTCACTCCCCAAATAGCCACAACAGCCGGAGCTGTGCTGATCCAAAGCCAGGAGCCAGGAGCTTCCTCCAAGTCTCCCACATGAGTGCAGGGGCCCAAGGACTTGGGCCATCTTCTACTGCTTTCCCAGGCCATAGCAGAGAGCTGGATGGGAAGTGGAGCAGCCAGGACTTGAACCAGTGCCCATATGGGATGCTGGCACTGCAGGCGGTGGGTGGCTTTACCAGCTACGCCACAGCACTGGCCCCTAGATTACTTCTGATACCCAACACAATGTAACTGTCACATAAAGAGCTTTTCTATTGTTTAAATAGGGAATAGTGAAAAGAAAGAAAATTTGTACAGCTTAAGCACAGGCACAATTTTTTTCCCTAAATATTTTCCGTCTGTACTTTGTTGAATTCTTGGTAGAGAACCCGCAGATTTGGGGGGGAATGATTGTACTATCTGAGCAAAACCTAGGAGCTGGAAGCAGAGTGAGAAAGGCAAGTAAAGATATTCTAAAGGTCTCTCTTACTGATAGGAGGAGCAGGAAGCGAAACATCCGAAGGGAAGACATGGTTGTCATTCTTTCAGACAATGGAGATGACACAATCTTACTATTAGTGCCAGGAACAGTACGGTAGAACCTTCTGGAACACCGAGGGGCTAGGGGAAGTGAAACAAGCAGCAGCTTGACCAGAACAGACAAAGAACATACAGAGAGTATAAGAAAGGGAATCGAATGTACCGCTCGCTCCACGTGTGTGTGGACCGTAATGAACCCAAAAGAAAACGTCAAAGGAGGAAGAAGCGGTGGGCATTTGGCTCAGAAGGCCAAGCCGCTGCTCGGGACAAGAGCACCCCGCATGGGAGCACTGGTTTGAGTCCCAGCTACTCTGCTTCTGATCCGGCTCCCTGTACCAGGGAAAGCAGCAGGTATTTGGGTCCCTGCCACTCAACCCACACGGGTGACCAGGGTGGAGCTCCTGGCTTCTGGCTCCCGGTTTCCAGCTGTGGTTGCTGCAGCCATCTGGGGAGTGAACCAGCGGATTGAAGGTCCCCCCCCCCCCGGCTCTCCTCCCTCTCTCTGTCTCTCCTCTCTCTCTCCCTCTCTCTCTCCCTCTCTCTGGCTCTCCCTCTCTCTTTGTAACCCTGCCTTTCACATAAATAAATAAATCTTTAAAAGAAAAAGCAATTTGCCTCTGAGTTTTCTAAAATAATAATAAATTAAAAATATTTGCCAAAGCTTTCTTTCTAAAAAAAAAAAAACTCAAATAGGTTGGCTTTATTAAGCTCCTCCCTGTACACATTTATCTGCTAATGAAAATTGAAACAGCACGTCAAGATTTCATTATCTTGCAGCTCAAACATTTGGAAGCCAGAATATCTAACTATCTGCTCTAATTATTGTGCTGCAGCTGAAATACCCGATGTTTTCTTTACACCCTTCCCCACGAGTCACTCTGTGCATCAGTTCCTGGGCTGGGCTTCATGTCATTGAAAACACACAGGTCTTCTAAGGCACGTGAGAATACTTGAAACTTATGGTGCTTCTTTGGGTCAAATAAAAAAGAACTGAGGTATATTGGAAGTCGTTTAAATACACTCCAACCACAATTCTATAAATTATGGGGATCAAGGTAGGAAGAGGGGGGCCGGCGCTGTGGCTCAGCGGGTTAACGCCCTGGTTCTAGTCCAGGCTGCTCCTCTTCCAATCCAGCTCTCTGCTATGGCCTGGGAAAGCAGTAGAAGATGGCTCAAGTCCTTGGGCCCCTGCAATCTATGTGAGAGACCAGGAAGAAGCTCCTGGCTCCTGGCTTTTGATCGGCGCAGCTCCGGCCTTTGTGGCCAATTGGGGAATGAACCAGCAGATGGAAGACCTCTCTTTCTCTCTCTCTCTCTCTCTCTCTCTCTCTCTCTGCCTCTCCTTCTCTCTGTGTAACTCTGACTTTCAAGTAAAATAAAATTAATCTTAAAAAAAAGTTCCCTCAGGAAAACCCACAAAGACATAAATATATTTGAATATATGAGGATGATCATCTTAGAATTATCTATAAGAAAGTGCTGGAAATAATTAATACACATGAATGTATCATGTAATTAATTAAATTACATATCCATGCAATTTGATACCATGCCATCATTAAAAAGATGAAATTATTTATTTATTCATACAATGTTTATTGACCTGAAAAAATGTTTTACGCATATTATTCAAATGCAAACAAGTAGGGGCTGGCATTGTTAGGCAGTGGTGCATTGGGCTGCTGGCATCCTATGCTGGAGTGCTAGTTTGAGTCCCGGTTGCTCCACTTCTTACTTTTTCCATATTTTTTTTTCTCTAGAGGCTTTCATTTGTACGCATATATTACATCCCTAGAAAAAAATCCCAGGATTTTTCTCCTGTGTGTTTTCGTCTTACCTCTTCTTGGTCCATGACGCCTGCTGGGGTTGTCAGTACAGTAAGAAACCAACCTGGTAGAATGGAAGCCAGTTGTTCTGCATTTTTCTAGATCTTTCTGTTGCACACCAGATCTGGAGCTGATCACCCCATGCTTGCTTTACCTGCCTGTGAAGTTCACAACAATTTTCCCCACTCTGTGATCATCAGTGATCTCGAATTGGCCAATGTGGGCTTCGTCATCGCAGTTAGGAACTTGACCATGACGTTGGAGCATGGCCTAATGAGACCTGGCGGCTACCTCTCTTTTAGCCACTGTCAATGCTCTTGAGGGCTTCGGCCAGCACATTCATGCACCCCGGTACGGCTCAGCCAATGAGGGAAAGTCCAGGGGCCGCAAACTCAGCCAGGGCCACTGTCTCTCCCAGCAGTCATAGCTCCGGCTCGCCAGCAGTGTGGCCTACACCCCATGTGCCAGAGTCGCCAAGTGCAGACTGTGGAGTGCCTGGGGCATGGCTCTCCGGGCTACTCCATTTCCAATCCAGTTCTCTGCTAATGTGCCACCAGGGAAGGCAGCAAAAGATGGTCAAATAATATTTTTCTAAAATGCAAAAAAAAAAAAAAAAAGTGCCCCCTGTTTCTCTTAGGGCACTTGATTTTTTTTTTTTTTTTGGTCCTCAGTCCTCCAGGGGCTAATGCCCACCTCCCCCTACCCAGACGTCTCCCCAGAATTGGGTCAGGTAGAGGATCTGTGGGGAGCAGAGCCCACACAGACTGGCTTCTGGAATGGCTATAAACCTAATTATTTTGGTCTCTTGTCCTTTTACACTCAGGGCACTCCTAATTTTTTATTTTTAGTTTTTTTTTGCAAGGCAGAGAGAGACAGATGGGGGGGGTGGAGAGAGAGAGAGAATCTCCCATCTGCTGATTCACTCCCAAGTGCCCACAATAGCCAGGGCCAGGCTGGGCTGAAAGCAGGAGTGGGGAATTCAGTCCAGGTCTCCCACGTGGGTGGTAGGAACTTGACTGCCTGAGCCATCCCCCATGACCTCCCCGGGTGTGTGTGTGTGTGTGTGTGTGTGTGTGCATCAGCAGGAAGCTGGAATCGGAGGCAGAGCTGGGACTGGAAAACAGGCACTCCGATGTGCAATGTGGGCTTAGCAGATGTACCAAATGCCCACGCAGGAGTCTCCTAACTTTAGTGTCCATTCTATAGCCCTGGCAACTGTGAACTTCCCAGAGTTGCCTCGAATCTGTGCAGGAGGATCCTCTCCTGGGGGTGCGAGGCGGGGAGCCGGGAAGGAGTTCAAGTGGGAAAGAGGTGTGGGCAGGTTCCAGGGAGCGGCAGTGGCACAGAGAAGGTGACACCGGATGTTGGCCCAGATTCTCAGCCCCTCCCACCGCAGAGTCTTGCCTCTTGCAAACACAGCTACCAACAGCGCCCATCACAGAGTGTTTTTTTTTTTTTTTTAGATTTATTTATTTATTTATTTGAAAAGTAGAGTTACAGAGAGGCAGAGGCAGGCAGAGAGAGAGAGGTCTTCCATCTGCTGGTTCACTCCCCAGATGGCCACAACAGCCAGAGCTATACCAATCAGAGGCCAGGAGCCAGGAACTTCTTCCGAGTCTCCCATGTGGGTGCAGGGGCCTAAGGACTTGGGTCATCTTCCCCTGCTTTCCCAGGCCATATCAGAGAGCTGGATCGGAAGTGGAGGAGCCAGGACTAGAACCAGCGCCCATATGGGATGCCAGCACTACAGGCTGGGGCTTTAACCTGCTGCGCCGCAGCACCGGCCCCAGAGCGGGTCTTAACAAATGAGCGCATAAAAAGGAAGAGGGTGAGTTTATTGTTGCACTGGGAGATGTACAAACTGAAGCTCTGAGCCCTTCTCAGACTTTGGGGGCCTGGTCTCTCTGGGTGACCCCCACCCTCCCTAAATCTGTAAGGCCCCTCAAGCCTCCCACTAATGGGGTTCCTGTGAGCAGTCCATGGGGATGCGGGCCTGGGGGTCACCCCCATGCCGAGTCTGTGCTCAGGCCCACAGGGGTGCACAGACTCCCAAAACCTGAAGTTCCTGGCTGGGGTCTTGCATGCAGGCCCCCCCTACCCTGATTCAAAGCCAAGTTTACAAGTGCAGAGAGGAGCCCTGGTCCCCGGCGTGGCAGGCCGGGACGAGCTTGGTGGTATCATCTGTGGTAAGGGCATCCTGATCTTCACGCGTGGCAGGACCAAGAGCGAGGCGTCACCAGCCCCCAGAAGCTTGTCTGGACCAGAGGAGGGGGGAATGGGGAATGACCCACCGTGTGGATCTAAGACGTGGAGCCCATCGCCCCCCAGCCGGGGCCTGGCTGCTGGGAGGGGGCGGGGTCTCACCTGGGGCAGGGGGCAGTGCCGCTGTGCGTACCACTCCTGGCAGTACAGGCTGACCTGGATTCCCTGGCCCAGGAACAGCAGAGTCCACATCAGCACGTTCCACGCTGGGCCCGTGTGCTGGTCATTCATTGTGAAGTTCAGCAGCCCTGGCATGGGGCGGGGCGGGGGGGGGGCGTCACCCTAGCTCCAGGTAGCCAGGTCCGACTCCCCTCCCACCGCGGGGTTGCTGGGAAGGGCTAAACTGGAAGCCCCCTGCTGGGGACGACCTTGAACCCTGATGCAGAAACCCATGGAGGCCTTAAGTGGCTCTCGTGGAATCTAGACCCCCGGAGTCCACGGGTCAGGACCCAGGTCCCCTGCTGAAGCCCCCAGCCTCCCTTCATCTTCCTCTCTCTGAGCGGCTGCCCACATGCTCCGCCCCTACTTGCAACCCTCCCCCGCCTCCCCGCCTCCCTGAAGGTCCTGGCTGTGCAGGACCAGGACGGAGGCCTCCCCGCCCCCTCTAGCTGGCTCCCCTTGGGCGGCACAGAGAGCAAGCTCACCTCCAATGACGAGGAAGAGCATGAACATCACAGGGTAGAAGAACCCCAGGACGAAGCAGAAGATGTATTCGTGGACCATGGCAGAGACCAGGAACACGCCCAGCATGGCTGCGCCTCGGGCCCGGCCACCAAGGAGCTGGCGGGACGAGGGGCAGAGTGAGGAGTGAGCCACTGCACTGAGACCCTCCATGAGAAGCCCCTGGCTTAAGGATGCCAAGAGGGAGCATGGTGCAGCGGGGCCGGAAGAGCAGACATCCGTCTTAACTTGAGTGCGCCTGCTGGCCCACGGGGCCACGGCTGCAATGGTTGAGTGCGGGCATCATAATACTTACTTGTCCGAGTTTTACTGTGAGGAGCAAGCGGAAGTCCTGGGCAAGGGAAAAGTGCTATAGGCATGCTCCTTGGAAGGTTAAGGACCAATGGAATCAGAGATACAGCCGCAAGGGAGGCAGAAGCCGAGGGAGGGAGGGAGGGAGGGAGAGAGGGAGGGGAGGGCCCAGGGAGAGCTGTCCCGAGGGGAGCCGTACCCACAGCCCGTCCTGGTACACGTAGCCGTACAGCCAGTCGTGCACCACCACGTTCCAGGTGCGGTAGTAGTTGGAGAAAGACGTGGAGTTCCACCAGTCCTGGGAAAGGAGCAGGGGAGCGTCCCCCACCAGCTCCACCCCGCACCCTGCCCCAGGGTCTTTCCTCCCCTGACAGCAGGCACTCGCCCACCCAGTGCCCCTCCCGGACCCGGGGGACCCTGCCCTCCCTGCGCGGCCCCTCTCAGGAGAAGGACACAGAAGCACTTGGCCCTGGCTTCAGGGGGCGGCGGCGTAGCCACGCCTAGACACCGGCACCTCTCACCGTGGGAGGTCAGCAGCCGTGGAGGTGACACCCAACACGGCCCCCATCTTCCCTCTCCCCCCTCCCCTACCCCGGGGCCCTCCCTGCCTCCAGCTCCAATTGGCCCAGGCCCAGGCCCCACCCGGTAGAACATCCTGTCTCCAAATCGCAGCATCTCAGCGAAGGCGTTGAGCCAGCAGTGGAGGAAGGCAAAGAAAATGAGGAACAGCATGAAGATGCCTGGCAGGCGGGGAGAAGGGGCTGCGGTCAGAGTGGCCGGGCCTGGGCCTCCGCCCCGCCCCAGCAGCCCTGGTCTGGGCTCTCAGGGGGCCCCTGCAGAGCAACCAGGGCCCCAGCTCTCACCAATTTGTCATTGAGAAATTCACTAACTCATCTGTTTGCTCATGCACATTTACTTGGCTGGATGTTGGGAACACAGCAGTTCACAGAGTGGCCGAAGCCAGAGACACACACCCACAGAAACGGAGACAGAGCCACGGCCAAGCAGGTGTCCAGGTCAAAGGTCACGGGAGTTAAGCATGGTGGCCACGCGTGTGGACGGAGCAAGGGAGGGGTGAGTCATCCTAACTGGCTGAACAAGGAAGGCTTCTCAGAGGAGGGAGCGCTTCACCACGGGGCCACCAAGAAGGAACACGGCTGGAGCATGGAGAAATGGCATTTCGAGCTGTGGGGCCAGTGTGAGCACAGGCCTGGGGTCATGGAAGCACACGTCTTTCAGGGGACGGCTGGGTGTGTGGACAGACGAGAAATAGACTGGTGCTGCGTGGGAAGGGGCCTTGAGCGCCGGACTCAGGGCTCAGATCTCCAGACGCCCCAGCAATGGGGACTCCCTGGAGCTTCTGAAACAGGGTAGGGAATGGTGAAGTCAGCCAGGGCAGCGGTGTCTGGGGACAGACGGCAGAGGAGGGACGAGGGTGGCAGAGACAGTGGTGAAGAGGCTGAACTGAGACCACGGCAGTTAGCCCGGAGGCGGAGACAGCAGAAGGCATTGTTGAGACCCCTGCAAGGTGCCCAGGGGGGATCTAGCCAGGGCCCAGGTGGCTGCAGCGCCCCCTGGTGGGCTCACCTGGCAACGTGGCGTGCAGGATGGAGAGCACCAGTGTCCGGGTGCTGAAGGGCTCTCGGCTCATGTTGGCAAAAACGGGGACACAGAGACGGCTCAGGATGAAGCAGGCATAGAGGACGCAGCCCAGAGCCTGCAGAGCGAGGTGGGGGTGCGCGGTGGTGAGAGCCCCCACCCCCCACCCCTGGCAGCTGCCTCTTCACTCTGCAGTTGGACCTCCGACCCAGCACCTGCCTCTTCCCTGAGCCGCCAGCCCTCGCCTCCCTCACTCCCGCGGGCGCCCCTGCTCCGCCACCCTTCTCCCGCATCATCTGACCTGCGCCAAGTTCTTGGCCACATAATTCCACCTGATGCTGGGTGTCCTGCAGCAGCAAGGAGAAGGGTATGTTTCTCAACCCTGCTCAGGAGGGACCCCAACTTCGGGGAACTTCTCCCTGCAGCTTGCTCAAGTGGCTGGGGCCTGGGAGGATGATCTGGGGAGCCCGGGGTCTCCAGCACCTTGGGCTGCTCCACAGCCGAAGTGGCAGGTCCGTTTCTACTTGAGTATCTACCAAGGCAACCAACTGGGGTGCACAGGACTTTCAGTACTAACTCGGGACAATCCCAGGGGAATAAGGACCACCAGTGGCCTTAGTCACTGGAGTGTCATCATGGACTGGGCAAGGAGAAGGGGTAGCCTGCCTGCCATGTATCCCCCAGCCCCGGGCAAGTGGCTGGTGCCTGGGCTCCATGGAGAGCAGAGTGGGAGGCGAGGCCCTTGTGGGGCCCTGGCATTTGGGGAAGGGGTACAGGGTCTCACCTGGGGTACGTGTCCCTGTAGATGAGTGTGGGACAGAAGAGGAAGTAGAGGTAGCTGGAGAAACTGGGGGCCTGGGTCCCCTCACCTGGGGAGGAAGCAGGAGGTGGATCAGTGAGGGGCAGGGCAGAGGGCACAGGTGAGCAGGCTGTAGGGGGTAGAGATGGACTGTGGCACGGGTGGTTAAAGTCCCAGCCTGAGGCGCCAGCATCCCATGTGGGCACCAGTTCGAATCCCGGCTGCTCCACTTCCAATCTAGCTCTCTGCTATGGCCTGGGAAAGCAGAAAAAGATGGCCCAAGTCCTTGGAACCCTGCACCTATGTGGGAGACCCAGAAGAAGCTCCTGGCTCCTGGCTTCAGATTGGCTCAGCTCTGGCCATTGTGGCCATCTAGGGAGTGAACCAGCAGATGGAATACTTCTCTCTCTCTGTCTCTAACTCTCTCTGTAACTCTCTTTCAAATAAAGAAGTTACTAAATAAAGAAAAACAAGGGTTGAATGGTGGGGGAGGTGGGGCAGGAGTTGAAGCTGCTCTCTGGCGCCCCCTGTTGGCTTCCAGGCATCCCGTTTTCTGGCCCAGGAGGTGTGTGGCCAAGCTGCGTTTGACACCGGGAATTCCAGGTCCCCTTCTCCTTTCCCTTCTCTCCTGACTTCCTGGGTCTTTCCAGGCTGAGTGGGAAACAGGAAAGCATGGGAAGCGAGGCTGGGCAAGGTGGGCCCAGGCAGGCAGTGCTATGCCACGGCCACTGCACCTGCTGGCTTCCTTCCGCTAGCCTGGAGGGCCGAGTTCACTACAGGGCCGGATAAGGGCCTCACCTCCTCTGGATGAAAGGATTCCAGGCACAGACTCTCGCAGGAAGGAGTAGGTTTTCATCAGGAACCGGACCTGAGGTGGCAGGGAACGGGGCCAGGTCGCTGTGTGGCTCTGCGCAAAGCACTCAACCTCTCTGCTCTCTCTGGTTGGCTGCCCTCAACAGCCTAACACCGAGGGGCCAGGCGAGGCCAGGGTGGAATCCTCATGCGACCCACCCCTGGGGGTGCTCTTTTTCCTGGCAGGAGGAGCCCCCCCCTAGCCCCGCGCCCTTGGAATGAGCACCCCCTCTTCCCGGGCCGCCTCACCTGCTCAAAGACCAGGATGCAGCGGGAGGCGGGCGGCAGCTGGTGCTGCACAGCCACGTGCACTGGGAGTGCGCACAGCAAGGTGGCGTGGGCGGCCAGCATCGCGCAGCCCAGGCCGGCCCCCAGCGCCCATGCGCGGCTGGAACTTGGCCATGCCCACAGCCGCAGGGCCTGGTAGGGCACCAGCAGGGTGGACAGGAACATGGGGACCCATGTCACCAGCGCCAGGGGCAGCTGCCCAAAGCTGAAGATCAGTAGGTCCAATTCCAGCACCAGCCTGGGGTGGGGGGAAAGAGATAAAGTTGACAAAGGCGCGCGGGCCCTGGACCCCTTCCTATTCTCACGGGAGGGGTTGGAATGTGATGACCTTCAGAGTCCTCTGAGGAGGACTCAGCACCCTGGACGCCACAAGTGGTGTGGGTTTTGTTGGTTTAAGATTTATTTATTTGAAAGGCCGAGCCACAGAGAGAGGGGAGAGGGAGGGAGAGATCTTCTGTCTGCTGGTTCACTCCCCACGTGGCCTCAACAGCCAAGTCTGGGCCAGGCCAAAGCCAGGAGCCAGGAACTCCATCCACTTGCCCACACGGATGGCAGGGACCCACGTACTTGGGCTAGCACCTGCTGTTGTCCCAGGCATGGGAGCAGAGAGCTGGATCCTCAGACATGGAGCATCAGGGACTGGAACTGGCCCTCTGCTATGTGATACAGTGTTGCATGCGGCGCCTCCCCTGCCTTGCTACAGGCCAATGCCTGCCCCCTGGGAGTGTTCAGCTAGGAGGTGTGTAGAGTGTAACTTCCATTTCCTTTAGCATTGATCCTTTAGAGTACTGCTACTTGTAGACTTGAGCTACTAGAGTGCAGGTTGTTCAGTGTCTTGTTTGCCAAGGTGAAAACGTGGGAACAAGAAGTTAGCTTAAGATGGCATCCCACATCAGCGTGCCCAGGTTCTGCTCCAGGCTCCGACTCCAGCTTCCTGCTAATGCGTACCAGGAGGCAGCAGTGACCGCTCAAGTACCTGAGTCCCTGCCACCAGGTAGGAGACTTGGGTTGCCTTTCTGGCTCCCAGCTTGGGCTTTGCCCCAGCGCCAGCCATTGCAAGCATTTGTGAAACTAGCAAATGGAATCTCTCTCTCTCTCTCTCTCTCAAATAAATCAAGTTATTTTTTTAATCCCTTAAGATGAACAAAAAAGGACAAAACGAAGAGAATCTGGCACTTCTGTCCTCTGCAGTCATTAACATGAATGGGCTGACGTGGAAAGATCCCAAGGTAGACGCTTAGGGAGTAGAAACCCATTGTGTGGCCGGTGCCGTGGTGCAGTAGGTTAATCCTCCGCCTGAAGCATTGGTATCCCATATGGGCGCTGGTTTGAGACCCAGCTACTCCACTTCTGATCCAGCTCTCTGCTGTGGCCTGGGAAGGCAGAAGATGGCCCAAGTCCTTGGGCCCCTGCACCTGCGTGGGAGACCTGGAAGAAGCTCTTGGCTCCTGGCTTTGAATTGGTGCAGCTCCAGTCACTGCAGCCATCTGGGGAGTGAACCACCGGATGGAAGACCTCTCTCTCTCTCTCTCTTTCTCTCCTTCTCTTTCTGTGTAACTCTGACTTTCAAATAAATAAATAAATCTTTTTTAAAAAGTGTATTTGGACATTTTACTGAGATCTTGTCCTTGTAATCCTTGTGCAATTAACAATAAAAATTTTGCCAAGAGGAAATGCTATTTATTGCTGTGCCTGTAGCTCTAAGCCCCGGTTGGGGTGAAGTGGGGAGACCTACAGAACACCCCCCAGGGTGCACAGCCCTCTGAGGCTCAGCCTCGCAGTGGGGGGTGCTCTGTGCAGATCAGATCCTGTGTGTCTTCCCCACAAGGCTTGGGAGGGTGTCTGCCTCCTCGGATCTCTGGTCCCGGGCCCCCAGGGCTGGTATTCAGCTGGCGCCCAATGCATGCTTCTCAGGGAGTGTGTGCAGTTGTGCCTGTGCACATACACTCCAACGTCTGCCTCAGGACTAGGTCCCCAGTGAGAAGTGTTTGAGAGGGGGCGTGGTATCCACAGAAAGGCTGGCCCTGGGAAGACAGGCCTTGGAGCCTTTTTTTTTTTTTTGACAGGCAGAGTGGACAGTGAGAGAGAGAGACAGAGAGAAAGGTCTTCCTTTGCCGTTGGTTCACCCTCCAATGGCCGCCGTGGCCAGCGCGCTGCGGCTGGCGCACCGCGCTGATCCGATGGCAGGAGCCAGGAGCCAAGTGCTTTTCCTGGTCTCCCATGGGGTGCAGGGCCCAAGCACTTGGGCCATCCTCCACTGCACTCCCTGGCCACAGCAGAGAGCTGGCCTGGAAGAGGGGCAACCGGGACAGAATCCGGCGCCCCAACCGGGACTAGAACCCAGTGTGCCGGCGCCGCTAGGCGGAGGATTAGCCTAGTGAGCCGCGGCGCCGGCCAAGGCCTTGGAGCCTTCTAAGGCTGGGGAGGGGAGAGTGCCCAGGGATGCTTTAGGAGGGAAGATCGCTGAGGGCAATGTTCAATAATGAAAGGGGCAGGGCTGGCACTGTGGCACAGTGGGTTAAAGCCCTGGCCTATGGCACTGGCATGCCATATGGGTACCGGTTTGAATTGCAGCTGCTCCACTTCCAATCCAGCTCCCTGCTAATGCACCTGGGAAAGCAGTAGAAGATGGCCCAAGTGCTTAGGCCCCTGTACCCATGTGGCAGAGCTGGAAGAAGCTCCTGGCTCCTGGCTTTGGATCAGCTCAGCTCCGGCCATTGAGGCCATTTGGGGAGTGAACCAGCAGATGAAAGACCTCTCCCCACCCCCGTAACTCTTTCAAATAAATAAGATAAATATTTTTAAAATAATAATGATGATGATGAAAGGGGCAACCTGTGCCCTCTTGAGTCAAGGGTGGGTAGAACACTAAGAACCCAGCGGCTCCGATCTGATCCGTGCACCTGCCCCAGGTTGGGGAGGAGGGGGCGGGGCTACCTGTCATCATCGGTGAAGTCGATGGCCAGGGCGCTGATGATGAAGACACACAGGCCGGCGATGAACATGTGGTAGATGGTGCGGAAGTGCTGCACCTCCATCAGCTCGCTGGAGAGACAGCGTGGGAGGGGCCTCAGGCACTGTGTACGTGCACGCAGGCAGGGGGCGCTGTGGTCCAGAACTGTCTGCTCAGTGCTGTGATGTAGCTGAGGCTTCTCACCCCAGAGTCTCCCTCAACCTCGCTCGTGGCAAATGGGGGAATCTGGACCATAGCAGCTCTCTCACGTCCTCCCCACAAACCACCAGAGCTGGGGGGTGCGGTAGGAAGCCAGGTATCCTGGATCCCACCCCTCTGCATCCCTCTCGTCCCCCGTGCGTGCCCCTGACTTACTCAAGCAAGGACTTGCGGGTGATGAAAACTTTCCTTTTGCCTGGCGGTGGCTCCCGTGCCCTGAATTGAGATGGTTGTTCAGGGTCAAGGGCCCCAAGGAAGACGGCAGTGGGCAGAGGACAGGAGGGTTAGGAGGACCAGATGAGGACGACGGACGGGGGAAGACGGAAGCCATGGTCATTGCCAAGACCGGTGAAGGATGCAGGTTCACGGCTCGCACTGAGGAGCCGACTGCAGCCGTCCCAGCCCCCCCACGCCTCAGACTCACCTGCTCAAGGAGTGTGGGGGAGCCGAGGGCAGAGGTTTGCCTTGCAGCGGGTGCGACTGTACAGCCTCCCACATGGCCCGATCCAGCAGTTCCCGCAGCTGTCCCTCTGCTTGTTCCAGTAATCGCCTCTTCACAGCCTACAGGACAGAGCCAGGGCGCGACCTCGGTCCCTCCAGCCACTCAGCCATCATTCCACTTATCAAGCACTCACTGAGCCTCACCCTGGGCCAAGCACAGTGCTGACAGAGGTAGCGACAGGAAGAATACACGTGGCTGCTGCCCAGAGGGGCCCCACGCACTGACCCCTTCCTGGCTCCGTGGGCAGCAGTGAGGATCAAGAATGACAGCAGGGGAGCCGGCGCTGTGGTGCAGTGCGTTAAGCTGCTGCCTGTGATGCTGGCATCCCATATGGGCGCTGGTTCGAGTCCTGGCTGCTCCACCTCTGATCCAGCTCCCTGCTAAAGTGCCTGGGAAAGCAGCAGAAGATGGCCCAAGTGCTTGGGCCCCCCACCACTCATTTAGGGGACCAGGGTGGAGTTCCAGGCTTCTGGTTTAGGCTTGGCCCATCTGCTGGCCATGGCAGGCATTTGGGGAGATTGACGATCTCCCCTTTCCCGGCTGCCCTGATCTCTCCCTGTCTCTCTACAGAGACAGAAGGAGAAATAAATTTTCCATATGCTGGTTCGTTCCCCCAAATAGCTGCAATGGCCGGGGTTGGGCTAGGTGGAAGCCAGGAGCCAGGAGCATCACCTGGGTCTCCCACATGGGTGCAGAGGCCCAGGCACTTGGGCCATCCTCCGCTGTTTCCCCAGGCACATACGCAGGGAGCTGGATTGGAAGTGGAGCAGCCGGTACTTGAACTGGCGCCCATATGGGATGCCAGTGCTGCAGGCTGTGGCTTCACTCACTGCACCACAGCACTGGCCCCAAGATATAAATATCTTTAAAAAAAAAAAAAAAAAGACAGCAAGCAGGGGGCAGGTGTTTGGCCCAGCAGGGAAGATACGAGAGCCCATTTCAGAGGGGCTGATTCCTGCCTCAAGCTCCTGACTGGTTTCCTGCTAATGCAGACCCTAGGGGGCAGTGGTGACTGAAAGTGTGGGGTCCCTGCCACCCATGAGCAGGACCTGGCTATGGCCCAGCCCTGTCCCAGCCACTGCGGACATTTGGGGTGTGAACCAGTGGATGAGCACTGTTTCTCTCTCTCTCTCTCTCTCTCTCTCTCTCAAATTAATTAAAAAAATTTTTTTAAAGAAAAAGAATGGCAGCAGGAGCAGCACTCTGGCTCCCTGAATTCCCGATCGCTCAATCCTCTCGCTCCTACCCCTGACCGCTAACCCCGCTAACAGGAGTCTCTCTCCCATCCTCACCCTGGGCACCTGCACTTGGAGCCCCGCATTCCCCGACCTTTGAACTCAGGGACCAGTCGTCTGTATCACCAAGCCAGTCCTCACCCCACCTCCCGCCACCCCAGGACCTGGCCTCCGACGTCCCCCACCTCCATATGTTGCATCCATTGCGCCAAGTCTGGGGCTCTGTGCGTCTCAGTGTCTCCTAGAGGGAGGGGTCGAAGGGCACACTCAAAGGGGAGGAGTCAGCATCCTGTGCCTGCTGCAGGCCTAGGAGCATCTTTTTTTTTTTTTTTTTTTTTTTTTTTTTTTTTTTGACAAGCAGAGTGGACAGTGAGAGAGAGACAGAGAGAAAGGTCTTCCTTTGCCGTTGGTTCACCCTCCAATGGCCCCCGCGGCCGGCTGATCCCATGGCAGGAGCCAGGTACTTATCCTGATCTCCCATGGGGTGCAGGGCCCAAGCACTTGGGCCATCCTCCACTGCACTCCCTGGCCACAGCAGAGAGCTGGCCTGGAAGAGAGGGAACCGGGACAGAATCTGGCGCCCCGACCGGGACTAGAACCCGGTGTGCCGGCGCCGCAAGGCGGAGGATTAGCCTAGTGAGCCACGGCGCCAGCCTGGAGCATCTTCTATCCAGGAAGTGCTTCTGCCCCCAGCCACCCACATCTGGTAACACGGGTGGGGCAGGTGGGAAGCGAAGATATTTTTGCAGTGGTTGACAGGCCTGTGGCAAGCAGGGGGCTGGTGCCATTTCTGTCACCAGGACGCTCAGGGCATGGGAAGTTGCTGACCTCGCTCTGCGGTTAAGGGGTCGGCAGGAGAAGGCAAGGCCGTAGCTTGGGGGATCCCATTTTCTCCTCCAAACCCCAGCTCGGTGGTGTGGGGAGAGGACAGCAGGAGGGGCGGAAGCCAGGCTACACGGCATCCCTACCCCAGCGCACCAGAACTTTCTGCTCACCTTGCCCAGGGGGGTGCTCCTCCTGCTCCCCGCACAGGCCTCCCCTTCTCCGCACGTGGGCTCCACCTGGCTCCATGGTGTGGCTCTCCAGTCTTGAGGGGACAGCCGGCTGCTGTGCCCGCTGCTCCCTGGCTCAGCACGCCCTGCTCCGTGCTTGTCCCCGCTCGGCTCCCGGCTGTCAGCTCCAAGGACTAAAGTCCTTTTAGGAGGAGGGGGCCTCTGGGAACGTGATAGGTTATCTAAGAGCAGCGCTTCTGCAGGGCCAGCCTCATCCCTCCAGCTCCCCAACCACCAGCTGGCCGGCCGCCGCCCGGCTTCAAGCCGGGAGGGGGACTTTGCCTCCCCCAGGGCTTATCGCCTGTGGCACTGCTGGCCTTCCAGGCTGTCAACCGGCAGGCTGAAGGTCGGGCAGGACTCAGAGACATCCTTGTGGCCCAGGCATTCAGCTGCCTTGGAGCACGGGATCAGGTGTGCGACTGTGGATGCTGGGTGCCAGGGCTCGGCCACATCTGCTGGGGTCAGCGGGCAGGCAGAGAGGAGCGAAAAACAGAGCAGAACTGGGCACACAGGCCGCGCCTGGCATTGTCACACCCACACAACGGCCATTGTCACGTACTGGCCGAGTGATTTCCAGGCGAGTGACTCAATGTCTTTAAGGCACGGTTTTCCTCCTCTGAGACACGGGGAGAGAAAAGAATCCTCCGACCTCACAAGGTGGGTGTACGCACACCATGAGGTGGAGGCCACATAACAGTACGAGCGCTGAGAGCGCCCCTTTGCTGGGTTCCTGCGGGGGGTTAACTATTAATCCTTCTCATCTTCTAGTGTCCAAAGTTCAGTGCTGGGAACAAGGTCACCACCTCTGGCGGAGGCCTCCCTTCCCCCCAACTCCCAGTGGAGAGCTGGCTGAGGCTTGAGAGCTGGAAGCACCTGCCAATGGCTACATCCAGCCTTCCAAGTCCAGAGGGAAGGGCAAGACGAAAGGCCCGGAAGAGGGCCCAGGGGCTCCAGAGCTGTGAGAGGTGCACACAGAGACACAGGCTAGAGACCCCACACACAGCTTTATTGATACCCCAGGCCAATACCGGGAGGGCCCCCAAGTTGGGCTGGGGGAGGGGCGGGGCAACATGGCAGGACCTGAAGCTGAGCCCCAGTGGCTCATCACTCCACAAACAACCCAAGACTGACAGCCCCGTGCTCCTGCCACAGGCCTTGCAGCTCCCCCACCCCAGCCTCAGCCACTGCTCCCAGAGGGGCAGGAGATGCTTCCATTGCCATCTGGAGTTCCAGGCAGGGGCTGGCCCATCCGGTCCACACACCAGCAGGGACCTCGGCGCTGTCCCTGGGAGGAGCGGCACTAGAGAGAGAAGAGGCACACAGGTCAGGGAGCAAGGCTTCCAGCAGGGCGGCTGCTGGGCCTGACTCGGGAACACCTGGGAGGTGCCCCCTGCTGGCCCACTGAGTTGAGCCCCTTCTGCTAGGCAGGTGCACAGGAGTGCTCAAAACGCCACTCCCAAACTGTCAGCACCAGCGTTACCAGGGGCTGTGCTGGCAAATGTGAGTTTGCAGGCTCAAAGCACATCCAAGTCCCCCTAAGAGCCGCAGAGCTGAGCCACCGAGCTGGGCCACGCCCTAGGGACTTCACAGCCTCTGCTGTAATGCCTGGCTTATGTTTGTGCGGGTCCCCAAGGTGGGAGATCCGTAAAGGCAGAGGCAGGGGCTACTTTGTCAGTCCCCGGCCCTCCCTCCCTGGTGGGAATCTTGTGTTGGCTCACCTGCCGCCGGCGGTAGAAGCCTCGGTGGTCACAATTAGGCACGTAGAGGGGCTGAGTCCCGCGGAAAATCTCTGTCTGGAGTTGCTGCAGCACCGTGTCCAGGTGTCGGCGGCAGGGGCCCTGCGGGGGGGGGGGGGGAGGCGGGCAGGCAGGTGGACAGTGGGTCAGAGCAGTCCTGGCCCAGCCTCACAGCACGGCTGGACTCCCAGGAGTGATGCTGGACGCTTCTCTAAGCCCAGAGCCGGGAGGGGGGAAGGGAGGGGGACGCTGTCACATGGAAGTCTCCAGGGGTCCCCCAGTCTTGCTGCTCCCCCCCTCCATCCCCAGCCCCAAACGTACCATCTCGGTGTCTTGGGCGCCTCCAGAATTGGTCCCTGGATGGCGCTGTTGGTCTCTGCGGTTCATATCCTGCTTGGGCTTACTCTCTTTGGGATGTTCCTCTACAGCCACGGGAGGAAGGAGAGAAGAGAGCCCAGGTCAGAGAAGAGCTTGCCCACCTCCACCGGCTCACATGGGAGGAGAAGGCTTAGCAGCAGGAGCAAAAGCGAGGGGGCTAGAACCTGCCTCCCCCTTCCCCTTGGCCTGGATCTGGTCTCTCTGCCTGGCAAACAGTCACATTACCATTTCTGCCAATATTCCCCCAGAGTGATTCTAAGGCTTTCACTAACGGGGGCCGGTGCTGTGGCTTAGCAGGTAAAGCTGCCACTTGCACTGCCAGCATCCCATATGGGGGTCAGTTCAAGTCCTGGCTGCTCCACTTCCCATCCAGCTCTCTGCTATGGCCTGGGAAAGCAGTGGAAGATGGCCCAAGTCCTTGGGCCCCTGCACGCCTGTGGGAGACCCAGAAGAAGCTCCTGGCTCCTGGCTTCAGATCAGCACAGCTACAGCCTTTGGCGGCCATTTGGGGAGAGAACCAGCAGATGGAAGACCTCTCTCTCTCTTTCTGCCTCTCTGTACCTCTGCCTTTCAAATAAATAAATGTAAAAACAAAAACAAAAAAACCTTTCACTGAGGCAAGAAGATGATTATTCCACCCATAGCCAGAAGGGGGTGCCCCAAGTCAGGGAGATGGGGCAGAGAAGCAAATGGCATAGAAGGGGTCATCAGGGACCCAAGTGGAATGTGTGGCCCGGCTCTGAACTCCGTGACTCAACCCACCCCTCCCAGTGCTGAGACGTGGTTCCTTTTGGGGACCTCTCCCTGCTGGGCCCCTGTGGCTCAGCCCTGCTCCACCCCAGGGGTCCCAGGAGCATTTGTTTGCCAGGATGAGCTGAGCATGGGTTGCAAAGGTGCAGGGGGTGAGGCGGCTCCTGGCTCCTGGCTCCTGGCCCCTGGAGAAAGCTTCTAGGGGTGCTGGGGTGAGCTGAGCACTGGGGAGGAGTGAGGGAAAAGTTGGAGCCAGGAAAAGGCAGGGAGGGGAGTGGGCGCTGCTTAGAACTTGCCCCAGTCGTAAAATGAAAGATCGTATCTCCTGAAGGGACTCTGGCTCCCTCTCCAAGCCAGAGGCAAACTCCCATCTGCCCACAGCTTGCAACCCAGGAGCCGTTTCCCCAGAGACCCCCATCTGATACTTCTTGCTCGGGGTACCCCTCCCTCTGAGGACCATGCCCCCCCACCCCACCCCGTGCCCTCCACTGATCAGCCTTCTCCCGCCCGACCCAACCATGCCTTCCGGGAGGCCCCTAGACGCCTGGTCTCAAGCATTTGGGAGGGAAAGAAACTCCCAAGTGAATTTCCCATCCCTTGCCATGGAAGAAACCCGAGGAACTCTGCTGCTTCTGGGCGGGGGTGGGAGGTGGTTTGCATTTCCTGCCATTCCCACCTCCCTGCTGCCCCCACCTTTGAGGTGCTGACTCACTCCTGTCCCAGCTCCCAAAGAGCCCACCTTCTATTCTTTTGGGGGCAGGTGGGCAGGCGGATGGGAGCAGTTTTAAGTCATAACCCTGATCCGACAGACTCACTCTTTCCCTATCTCTTTGTCCATCTCCCAGGCCCTCCAGGGCTGCCTCCCTGTCTCTAGTCCGGTTTATTGCAACTCTGGACCGGGCATCTTCCGTTTTAGACCTCAAGTTCCTGTGCTTCCAACAGTGGCATTAAAAGAGGAGTCACCGTCACCGTGTGCAGAATGTAGGAGTCTGCGGATCGCGTCCCTCCTACTTGGGCATCTTGGGATGGGGGAGCTAGGCCAGCAGGGGTGCAGGGGACGACCCTGAAACCCTACATGCCCCAAGGAAAAATAGGAGGAGCAAAAACAAAACCCAAAAAACTCCAAACGTTGCGAGCCCAGATATCTCCCAGCTCTTCCCCGGGTTCCCTGGCCACACCCAGGCTTCCAGCGGCTCCCCACGCTTGCCCCGTCCTCTCCCCGAAATGTGTAGGACCGGAGTGGAGGAGGCGACCCCCGGCTGGGACCGCACTTCCCCAGGACCCCCGCGGGGGCGGGGCGGGGGCGGGGCGCGCACTCACCCGAGGGCGCGCGGGCTTCGCGGCAGCTGCCCCGGCCCAGCAGCAGCGCCCGCAGAGGCGCCTCGTCGTCCTTGGGCGGCAGGCACTGCAGTCCGGGGGCGCAGTAAGGAGTGTAGACCCCGCAGTGCTGCCCCTCTTTCCTGAGACAGCCTCGGGCTTCCGTACAGCGCTCCGCAGGCGGGGCCCCATCCTCCTCCACGCAGCCCTCCGGACAAGCCGCCTGCGCCCCCTGCCCGCAACCCCGGCACCTCGCCAAGGCCCCTCCTGGGCGGGCGGCGAGCTGTAGAGTTAGCAACAGCAGCAGCGGCAGCAGCCCGGGGGCGGTCATGGTCAGGATTTTTGCCCCGTCCACTCCTCCCAGAGCGGTCGCAAAGCGGCTGCTGGCCGCTGCCACCCCTCCGCCTTAAGTAGCCGCCGGCCGGGGGCCGGGCCCTTTAAGAGCCAGGTGAAGGAGGGGGGAGGCAGAGGCATTCCCTAAACTGGGAGGGACCCGAGAGGCTCCCCCCGACCTGGGTCCTCCTCTCCCCCCCCCCCCCCCCCAGTTTCCGTTTACTTCCCGAATTGCTCTGATTTTTCTTGCTCTGTTCCTGGGAACCTCGCCCAGAATTTGGGAGCTGAACAGCTGGCAGGAGGGGCTGGAGGGCGGAGAGGGTGGGAGAAGGGGAGGCCGGGTGTGGGATGAGGGCAGAGCCTGAAGTCGAATTAGCGAGCCGGTAGGCAGATGCGGGCGTGATGCGGGGCGAGGGGAGCACGAGAGGGTGCGGCAGATGCGGGGCGCAAGGAGAGACGGATGCGGTGGGCGGTGGGGTTTTGGGATAGCCCGCTGTGGATGCCAGATAGCAGGCTGGGGCTTGCGGAGGAAGTGGGGGGGGGGGTGAAGGCAGCCGGGACACCCTGGGGTAAGGTGATCGGAGTTGTAGGGGGAGAAGAGGTGACCCAGGCAGGGTAGGGATAGCGTGGGGGGAGGAATCCACCTGGCACAGGCTGTGGAAACCCGGAGCAGTGGGCTGGGTAAAGTGGGGTCTGGTAGCGTGGGAGGGGGCTGCAGTGCAAAGGTGAGGCTTGGCCAATACCTGGGAGAGGGGAAGGGGGGAGTTGTGGGGGGCAAAAGCTAGAGGAACTGACATTCCTGATGTTCCTGGGGTCTGCCTGCCCCTCTGTTCCTCTTCTTTCCCAGAGACTTCTCCCCCCCACCCCGCCCCTGCAGCCATTTCTGGGGTCTGTCCTGCTGTGCTGTGTGGGGCCAGAGGGGGCTCCGCAGAGGCACGGAACTGGGCACTTCTGCCTGATGTCACCCCTTGCTGCCCAAGGCAGGGCCGCCCCGGTCCCCAGCTCTAGCAGCTCCGTGCATTGCTACAGGGAGGCAAACGGACATTTCTTTTGCATACCGCCCCCCCCCCCCCGCCCGCCCACACCCGCCAGCTATGGCCAGTTATGTAACGGCCATCTCATTCTTTCCTAAAACAAGGGCTTGGGGTAGTGACTAAGTTTAACTTCTGGGCCCCCGAGCAGTGTTTCTCTGTCACCCAGAGATACTGGCTCAGTTCAGACAGACAGGAAAAGGAGGTGGCAGCTGACCCCAGGGTGGGGAGCTTGGTGCTGTTCCTCAAAGCTTGGTTCCCTGTCAGCGGAGCCCAATCAAAATGATGAGGACAAGGTTTGAGGGTAAGGGAAAGGAGAAGGTGCACTCTGTGGACAGATGAGGGGGCAGCAGGCGTCCACCTCAAGAACTAGCCCCTGCTGCTGAATGAGGGTGGTCTGGGGCTTTTTTTCCCCCTCAGATTTCTTTATTTGAAAGTCGCAGTTACAGAGAGAGAGAAAGAGAGTGAGAGAGATCCTCCATTCGTTGGTTCACGCAGATGCCCGCAAAGGTCATGGCTGGGCCAGGCTGAGGCCAGGAGCCAGGAGCTCCCTCGCACGCGGGTGGCAGGGGTCCAAGCACGTGGGCCATCTTCGCTGCTTCTCTCAGGCGGTTAGCAGGGAGCTGCATGGGAAGGGGAGCGGCCAGCACAAGAACTGGGGCTGTGCCCACTCTACCACGATGCTGGCCCCAGCCTTGAGGCTATTAGGGAGGCTTCAAGTGATGTGGGAGAACTAGGAGGGACGATTAGACAGGGAGAGGTAAGCTGGAAGTTCTGCCAGCCCTGCACTGTATCTCTGTCTACCCCTTCTCTGTCAAGGCCCACTTTCCATCAGACACCTGTTTCTTACCTGGGACCAGGAAGGAGAGACACCATGATGGCCACGTGGAAGTTAGGTGTGCCTGGCTCCCTGCTCCAGGCATGTGGGTGTGGCTACTGATAGCCTGCTGGGGCTTCCTATTTCCTATGACCCTGCTCTGGCTCCCTCCCAGCAGGAGTCCCCTTTGAGATCAGGATGAACTTTGAATGCTGGTTGCCTAGCTCCAACACTGAAATCTGATATTGCTCTGGTTAAGAAACTCCAATCATGAGCCAAATATCTCCTGGGGCTCACAGGGAGCCTTAGGCTTGGTGATGAGCCCTAGGCGTGGTGGCAGAACCCCCCCCCCCGAAAGTAATCAGGGTGCTGGGGCAGTTGTATCTCAGACATGGGAGGAGACCTCAGGTCCGGGGGCTGAGGTGGAGACCTACAGGGGGTACAGAAAGAAGACCTCGGGTCACCAGATCTCACCTAATGCTGGGGTTCAGCAGGAGTGCCTGAATGTGCTTCGTCTCCTCAGGCTACAGAGAGACTTTCTGCACCCATTCCCTGGACCCTTTTTTTCTTTCTTCTTCTTCTTTTTTTTTTTTTTTTTTTTTTTTTTGACAGGCAAAGTGGACAGTGAGAGAGACAGAGAGAAAGGTCTTCCTTTTCCGTTGGTTCACCCCCCAATGGCCGCTGCGGGCGGCACACTGCGCTGATCTGAAGCCAGGAGCCAGGTGCTTCTCCTGGTCTCCCATGCGAATGCAGGGCCCAAGTACTTGGACCATCCTCCACTGCCTTCCCGGGCCACAGCAGAGATGTGGACTGGAAGAGGAGCAACCTGGACAGAATCCAGCGCCCTGAACAGGACTAGAACCCAGGTGCCGGTGCCGCAGGCGGAGGATTAGCCTATTGAGCCATGGTGCCAGCATTTTTTTTTTTTTGAAAGATTTATTTTATTTATTTGAAAGACAGAGTTACAGAGAGAGGTAGAGACAGAGAGAGAGGTCTTCCATCCGTTGGTTCACCCCCAGATGGCCACAACGGCCTGAGCTGCACCGATCCGAAACCGGGAGCCAGGAGCTTCTTCCAGGTCTCCCATGCAGGTGCAGGGGCCCAAGGACTTGGGCCATCTTCCACTGCTATCCCAGGCCACAGCAGAGAGCTGGATTGGAAGAGGAGCAGCCGAGACTAGAACCGGCGCCCATATGGGATGCCAGTGCTTCAGGCCAGGGCGTTGACCTGCTGCGCCACAGCACCGGCTCCCCCTGGACTCTTAATAATTGGGAAACTGTGTTTTTAAAAGATTTATTTATTTATTTGAAAGTCAAAGTTACACACAGAGAGAAGGAGAGGCAGAAAGAGAGAGAGGTCTTCCATCCGTTAGTTCACTCCCCAATTGGCTGCAACAGCCAGAGCTGAGCTGATCTGAAGCCAGGAGCCAGGAGCTTCTCCAGGTCTCCCATGCATGTGCAGAGGCCCAAGGACTTGGACCATCTTCCACTGCTTTCCCAGTAGAGCTGGATCAGAAGTGCAGCAGCTGAGACTCAAACTGTCGCCCATATGGGATGCTGGCACTGCAGGCAGTGGCTTTACCCACTATGCCACAGTGCTGGCCCCTTTGGAAAATCTTAAAACTAGATGGTTATAACTAAGAATCTTGCTGTCCTTTGCAACACTGTCTGGCCAAAATAAAAACTGGAGAATGCAGAAACCTGGTTGTTCAATGGGCCTTTCAACTTGAATACTTTCTCACAACTCAGTGTCTGCAGGAGGCAGCAGAAAGGGTCAGGGATTTCTTACGTACAGCCTTTAAGGTGCTGTATCAACACTTCACTCACAAAAGGAGCTGCAGGCTCTGTCTTGGCCCTGCTGTCTTGAAGACAAGGGAGCAGCAGATAGATACAGTGGATGAGCCACTACTGGGTGGTCCTGTACCACCCCAAGCTCGGCATGTCCCGATACTGGGAGTGTCTCCAGGGGGTACCAGATCCTCCCCTGCACTCTTAGAATGTGATTCTTCTGTCCCTCCAATTATCCCATGACACTCACCCTTTAAACCTCCGGTCCCCCTGGAGGACAGCCCAATTGGAGTCACAGTGGGGGCCCCCTAGTGGCCAAATGTGAGCATGCTCTGTTCTCTGAGAGGCATGGTAACCGAGATATTGAGCCAAAGTACATGTCCCTTTCTCCACACCTTAATTAAGTCATTGTAAGCAAAAGCTAGTGAGGTTTATCAGAGGATCCTGCCAAATTCTCTGGGAAGTTTCAGGCCCTAATTCTGATCTTTGACCTGACCCGGGCCGGCCTCCACATTGTTATATACTTGTTGAATGGCACATCTGGGCTAAAACTGGACTGATTCAGTGCTGATTCTCTGGTGGTTCAGCAGCCTGAGCACTGTAGGGGCTTCAGCAGTTCTCACAGCTGCACTCGACTGGCATTCTCAGAGGGGTCAGCCCTGCATGGTGGCACAGATGAGAAAATACAAGGTGAAACCCACAAACGGCGGTTACATCGGGGAGGTGGCACAGGATAAGGATGAGAACGCAAGACTGAATTTGTTATTAGGGAGTTTCAGAAACGGACCCCGGGCTCCCACAAGCCAGATGGTAGCGATGGTATCCTGCTCCGGTGTAAAGGCCCATGGGAAAATGTTTCAGATGCGGGAACCTGGGATGCTGGTGCAAGCAGCATCCTACCCAAAGGACCCAGCTGGTCCATGCCTGCAGTGAAACAGAGACGGTCATTGGAAACGGGACCATGCTCAGCTCTGAAGGGAGGAGACTCCCAGTTCTCTCGTGGCTTTGTTTGAAGACTGTTGGGACTTGGGGACCCAGGGAGCTCCCACAACCCAAATGAGCATCTCGTGCCGGGAGCCCTGGGTGATGACGGACACTATAGGTGATTAATAGGGGGGCCACTTACTCAGGAGTGAACTCCCGTGGAGAAGATCTGTCCTCAAAGGGTTGTGCTGTCATGGGAGTTGATGGTAGGACTTGTTCTCAGAAACTTCCTTTGCCTTCCGTCTGTCAATAGAAGTTGTTCTTGTCTCCCACCCCTTTTTTTCCTGAATGCCCAACTCCTTTGCTTGGCAGGGGTTTGCTGTGATCCCTGGGTGCTTCTCTCAGGTTAATGTCTCTCAAGCCTGGATGGCCTTCCTGCTGAAATAAAAAAATCGTGTCGATCTTCAAGTCTGGGCTCAGGGATTATCTGTACAGGCCACAAATGCTGACCCCATCACAGTCCACTTAAGGGACAAGACAACATTTCCTCACTGACATCAGTACCCTCCTGAAAGCCAGAAGCTAGGTGGGGACTCCGACCCTTGATTGATAAATTTCTCTATCATGGAGTCCCAGGTCCATGTCAGTCTCCCTGAAATGCCCCCAGTCTAACTGTTTTAAAGCCAAATGAGAAATCCAGAATGTCAGGCAGGCGCTGTGACACAGTGGGTAAAGCCACTGCCTGCAGTGCTGGTACCTCATATGACTACTGATTCAAGTACCGGCTGTTCCTTGATCCAGCTCTCTGCTATGGCCTGGGAAAGCAGTGGAAGATGGTCCAACTCCTTGGGCCCCTGCCCCTGCGTGGGAGACCTGGAAGAAGCTCCTGGCTCCTGGCTTCAGATCAGCTCAGCTCTGGCCGTTGCGGCCATTTGGGGAGTGAATCAGCGAATGGAAGATTTCTCTTTCTCTCTCTGCCTCTGCCTCTCTGTAACTCTGCCTTTCACATAAAATAAGTAAATCTTTTTAAAAAATAAATATAGAACGTTTCAGGACCTCAGGGCTATTAATGAGGCAGTTATTGCACTTCACCCTACTCTGCCAAATCCTTACACCATATTAACAATATACCTGAGGGCACTACATGATACACCATCCTAGACCTAAAGGTTGCCACCCTCTGCATCTGTTAAGCCCGTAATCCCAGTACCAGTTTGCCTTTGAATGGACTGATGCATCCTCAAATGGAATCCATCAGTATCCTTAGACAGCCCTTCCTCAGGCTTGCATGGAGAGTCCTCATATGTTTGGCAGTGCTCTTGCAAAGGAATTCAGAGCACTGCAATTAAAGACTGGGGCCATTATATAATGTGTGGTGATATTCTCATTCTCAGTCCCTCCAAGGAAGCCTCAGATGGAAATTCCATCCAGGTCTTAAACTTTTTAGAGAAACAGGAGCCAAAGTTTTCCCCACCAGAGCTCAGATTTCTAAACACGAGGTAACCTTCCTGGGACATGTTGTGATCCAAAGAACGTGTGCTCCTTAAGTGAAAAGAGACCATATTACGTATGGGGCCACCACAGACAAAGGAACAGCTATGGACAAGCCTGGGAGTGGCAGATTTTTGTAGGATTTGGATTCCAGGATGTGGGTTAATAGCCAAACTGTTATATGAGGCTTTAAAAGGTCCTGGCACAGACCCGCTTAATTGGATAGGAGAACAACAGGAGGCTTTCCAAAGGATTAAAGAGATATTAACAGAGGCTCTGATACTAGGAATCCCTAATTTAGACAGACCATTTACTCTGATTGTAGCAGAGAAACAGGGAGGAGCTCTGGGTCTGCTCACTAAGAAACCGAGTTCACTTTTATGATTACTGGCCTACTTTTCTAACATTTTTTTTTTTTTATTTGAAAGGCAGAGTTATAGAGCCAGAGCCAGAGACAGTAAGGGATTTTCTATCCACTAGTTCACTCCTCAAATGGCTGCAACAGCTGGGGCTGGGCCAGGCCAAATCCAGGAGCCTAGAACTCCATCTGGTCTCCCATGTAGGTAGCAGGGTCCCAAAAGCTTGGGCCAACTTCTGATTTTCCAGGTGCATTATCAGGGAGCTGGATAGGAAGTAGAGCAGCTGAGACCTGAGTTGGTGCCCATATGGGGTGCTGGCGTCACAGGCAGCAGCTTAACTCACTGCAAGTGGCCCATTTTTCTAAGCAACTAGATTTAAGCAAGCTGACTTTAGGCCAACCCACGAAGTTCAAACTCCACACCAGATGCCAGGTGCTCTAGAGGTTAAAGGACACCAGTGACTAATAGATGACTTACTGAGTTTCAGGCTCTTTCTTTTTGAAGTCCTCAATCCAGCTGCTCTCCTGACATTTGAAGTTACTTAAAAGTTTAGCTCACAGGGCTGGCACTGTGGTGCAGTGGGTGAAGCCACCAGCTGCAGGGCCGGCATCCTGTGCTAGCCTTGGGCATTGGTTCGAGTCCTGGCTCCTCCACTTCTGATCCAGCTCCCTGCTAATGCACCTGGGAAGGCAGATGGCCCCTGCACTCGTATGGGAGACTCAGTTGAAGCTCCTGGCTCCTGACTTCAGATCAGCCCAGCTCTGGCCATTGCAGCCATTTGGGAAGTGAACTGGCAGATGGAAATGCGCTCTCTCTCTCTCTCTCTCTCTCTCTCTCTCTGTGGGTGTGGCTGTCTACCACTTCCTCTCTGAAACTCTGCCTTTCAAATAATTAAGTAAATCTTAAAAAAATTAGCTCACTTTTATATAGAGACCACAGGACAAGTCTGTGCCAGCAGGCCTCATCTATGAGCTGAATCTCTGGAGAACGCAGGTGTTGAATGGTTCACTGACTACAACTGCAGTAGGTTCACGAGGGAAGGAGTTAGAAGGCAGGACGTGCCCCACTCGATCTTACTCAGATGATGGCAGCTCAGGCATCGCCGTCTAACACTTCCACTCGAAAGGCTGAACTTATGGCATTAACCAGATGCTTACATCAGGAAAAGGCTAAAATTCCTATTTACACAGACCCCACATATGCTTTCCTTGTGTTACATGCACACACACCAATTTGGAAAGAAGGAGGCCCACTGACTGCAAAGGACTCCCCCATTAACCACGGGGAAGAGATTTCAGCTCTCCTCCAGGGAATTCTGGAGCCCCGGAAGTGACTGTTGCCCACTGCAGGAGACAAAATACCCGTACAGCCACACAGCCAAGGGATACGCTAACAGGACAGCAGAGAAGGCTGCTGCTCAGAGGTTTTGGACGCCTCTAAGATCTCAGCCTATAAAGACAACTAGAGATTCCCCCCTGTGCAATGCTGAAAGATCATAAGGTCATCCTCCCAGCGACAAATGATTAAGGAAACACATAACCCACCTTGGAAGATTAACTCTAATGCAGGCAGTTTCGCAGGTGTTTGGAGGGGAAGGACTACATAATTTTTTTTTTTTTTTTTTTTTTGGGCAGGCAGAGTGGATAGTGAGAGAGAGAGACAGAGAGAAAGGTCTTCCTTTGCTGTTGGTTCACCCTCCAATGGCCGCCGCGGCTGGCGCACTGAGGCCGGCGCATCACGCCTATCTGAAGGCAGGAGCCAGGTGTTTCTCCTGGTCTCCCATGGGGTGCAGGGCCCAAGGACTTGGGCCATCCTCCACTGCACTCCCTGGCCACAGCAGAGAGCTGGCCTGGAAGAGGGGCAACCGGGACAGAATCCGGTGCCCTGGACTACATAATGTTACAAGGGAAGTAACTCAGTCCTGGGTGCTTTGTTTACAAAATAATCCTAGAGAGTAGACCACCCGCCTTACTCAGTCCCATCCAAAGGAGAGGAAACGGAAGACTTTACTAACACGCTCACGGCAATGGGCACGGATATCTATTAGTCTTTACTGATACTTCCATGGGATGGCTAGAGGCTTTCCCCACTGGAACAGAAAAGGCACAAGAAGTGTCTAAAACCCTGCTACAGGAAATCATTCCTCACCGTGGCCTCCCAAAGTCACTCTGAGGTGACAACAGACCCCCATCGCTTGTCACTTCCATGCTTCTTGGAGACCCTTGGGTCGTCTCAAAAAGGCTAACCATAGCCTGACAAGGACTGCAGCTAAGCTTTGCCGAGAGACCCCAGTGTCACGGCTGAAGTTATGGCCATTGCCCTCTGCAGTGAGGATGGCACCCGTGGCTACTCTAAGGCTTAGCCCTCTTGAAGTGTTATATGGAAGACACTGTCTCACCACTGAAATCCTCTTGATTCAGACTCAAGGTCAGGTAAAGTGTATTTTCAATCTAGGCCTGGCTCAAGAGTCTCTAATAGAATATGGTGAAAAATCCTCCCAGTGCGGGATTTCAAAAGTTGCTAACAGCTGATCTCCCCATGCGATCTAGTTTTGTTAACAACTTGGAAGGTGGGGCCGGCGCTGTGGTGTAGCAGATAAAGCTGCCGCCTGCAGTGCTGGCATCCCATATGGGCGCCGGTTCGAGACCCAGCTGCTCCACTTCCGATCCAGCTCTCTGCTATGGCCTGGGAAAGCAGTAGAGGATGGGCCGAGAGCTTGGGCCCCTGGTACCCAAGTGGGAGACCAGGAAGAAGCTCCTGGCTCCCGCCTGGTCCAGCCTTTGCCATTGCGGCCATTTGGAGAGTGAACCAGTGGATAGAAGAGTGATCTCTCTCTCTCTCTCTCTCTCTCTCTCTCTCTGTAGCTCTGCCTTTCAAATAAAATTTTTTTTTTTGACAGGCAGAGTGGACAGTGAGAGAGAGAGACAGAGAGAAAGGTCTTCCTTTGCCGTTGGTTCACCCTCCAATGGCCGCCGCGGCCGGCGCGCTGCGGCCGGCGCACCGCGCTGATCCGATGGCAGGAGCCAGGAGCCAGGTGCTTTTCCTGGTCTCCCATGGGGTGCAGGGCCCAAGCACCTGGGCCATCCTCCACTGCACTCCCTGGCCACAGCAGAGAGCTGGCCTGGAAGAGGGGCAACCGGGACAGAATCCGGCGCCCCGACCGGGACTAGAACCCGGTGTGCCGGCGCCGCTAGGCGGAGGATTAGCCTAGTGAGCCGCGGCGCCGGCCCTCAAATAAATTTTTAAAAAGTCTAAATCAATCAATCGTCAATTAATCAAGGTTTTTCATTAAAGCCAGCAAAGAAACAAAAACAACGCTCAACACATCTAAATCCAAACTCATGCTCTCGACCCACAAACCATTCCTCAGTCGTCCTGGGTTTGGCAGAGCTCTCATCACTCCCCAAATCTCCCACTTACCCCCCACTTTTTCCTCTTTGCTCATGAAGTGACTCAGTCCTGTTGGGTAACCCCTCCTAGTGGCTCCCCAAGTGGGCTTAGTATTTTTTTTTCTTTTAATTTCTAAGCCCATCCTGACGATGTCTGTTATTGTCGCCTACCAGGACCGTGGGGATCTTTTCCCACGCACTGCCTGGTGTTCAGGTACTGTCCACCCAGGCTGTTCTTTCTGAAATGAAAACACAGCACAGAAATCCACTGCTCAGAAATCTTCAGACTCCAATGTCAAGTCCAAATCCTCGGTTTGGAAGCCACTACTTCTACAACCCCTATTTTTTTTTTTTTTTTAAGATTTATTTATTTATTTGAAACAGTTACAGAGAGAGAGAGAGAGAGGCAGAGAGAAAGAGGTCTTCCATCTGCTGGGTCACTCCCCAATTGACTGCAACAGCTGAAGCTGCACCGATCTGAAGCCAGGAGCTTCTTTCAGGTCTCCCACGTGGGTGCAGGGGCCCAAGGACTTAGACCATTCTTTTCCTGCTTTCCCAGGCCACAGTAGAGAGCTGGATTGGAAGTGGAGCAGCTGGGACTTGAACCAGTGCCCACAGGGGATGTTGGCACTGCAGGCGGTGGCTTTACCTGCTACGCCACAGCGCCGGCCCCTCTACAACACTTATTATTACTTTATGAGAGCCACCCTCCCTGCTTGATCAAATACGTTCTTTGAGGTCACACTTGTGAACTTTTACTCAGAACCAACCCCTCAGCTTCCTCTTCTTTTCTAACCACTTATTCTCTGTTTTTTCTGTCTGATTTTTTATTTAAAAAAAATGTTAAAACAAAAGTGCAATACTCATTCCATAAGCGTGATGGGATCCTTCTGCAATTTTGTTGTAGGAAGCGAAGTCACTGATTTCAGAATGCTGATGGCCATCTATCAGCGAAACAATCAGTTCTCACACACTTTCAGTAGCTGCAGCCATTGCCTGGACTGTCTGTAGAAATTCTGAAACCGTGGAGCAGTCACTTCAAAGGACCTGTTCTCTACTCAGTCCGAATGATTTGCTGCCGGTGGCTTTCCTACAACATAAGGACACTCTAGAGATCTGCAGCTGTGAGCTCACAGCTCTGCCAAGTTTCCACTGAAAATCTATAAGCCAGTGGGTGAGCATGGCTCACCAGCCGCCTCTTTGGGAAGTGTCCCAGGCTCGCCTTATTCTCTATTTTCTATTATCAGGCTCTGGGTGAAATTGAGTATCTACGCATCTGGATCCCCAGGAACACACAGTCTGTGGTGAAAACAGACAGGTAAATCAGCACCGGCACTATAAAGGAGAAGAGGGGTCAGGGCCAGATGAACACGGAGGAGAGACTTTGCCTGGAAGATTCACAGAAGGCTTCGGGAGGAGCAGGCATTTTCAGTGGAGGGGATTTGGGGGATGGCTTCTGGAGAACACAGCGGATCTCTAAGTTACGTGGCTGTTCCTCACGACCGTCTTCACACCTTGTACAGTTCCTCTTGTAGTTCGAGCAGCTTTTTGCATACTATGTCTTGTCAGGACAGGGACCACGTCCACTGGTTCCCCTCTGCAAAATGCAGGTAGCAACGCCAACTTCACAGGTTGCCAGGGCTATGTGTATTGGGAATTCTTCGTGTGACGTATGCAGCCGTCACTCAATGGTCGTTTTCCTGAAATGAATGAATGAGCGAAGTGCCTTGCTCAGTTTCTAGCTCACACTAAAGTACTCGGTTATTTGGTGAATGAAAACTGTGCTATCCACAGCTGGAGCCCTCTGTCTTGGGAGGTCTCAGTGCGCAGGACCAGAGAAAGGCAGCGGGGTGGGTGGGATATGGTGTGGGAGAGCGAACCAGGCAGACGAGGGCTCACCAATCCCAGGCAGGGGCATTCAGATGCAGCCAAATTCAGTGGATGCATATTTATTTTTTGCATAATTCTCATGATGCTCCATAACCATCTCCCCTCCACAGGGAGACTTACCCAGATGGATTGACTTGCTACAGGCCACGTAGCTGGATGATGGGATCCAGTGTCTCCAAAGTTCTCTGCAACACAAAACATTCATGATGTAGAAAAACACCCAAAGGTTCGCATAAAGCTAAATGCAGATTTATTTGCTAAATGCTCAAGTCATATACAGTTTCTAGAGTCAGAGAGAAGTTGTTTTAATGTACTAAGAGGAAAGGTTGCCTTGTGTTGGGGGTGAGGTAGGGATTATATTATTCTACTTTTAAAGATTTATTTGTTAATTCTAAAGGCAAAGAATGAGAGAGAGAGAGAGAGAGAGAGAGAGAGAGAGAGAGATCGTCCATCTGCTGGTTCATTCCCCCAGTGGCTGCAATAGCCAGGGAGGACCCTTTGTCCACTCAGTGTAGTAAAAAAGCAAATAATGAAACAGAACCTGAGCATCAGCCCTAGAAACTTTATTCAGATGTCAAAGAATGGAGACATGGGAGCCTAACTTCTCAGACTGCTGACAGTTAAGGAGTCTTAGATACAAGGAGAGAAAGAATTGGAGTGTAACATGCTAAAGAATGGGAGGAGTATTCATTTTGGGGGAAGGTAGGTGGAGATGTCATGGAATAGGAGTGCATGGCTTCTTAAACTATTTTATGGACTCTTCTGGCTATTGGCAGGACAGCTGTCACCCATCACAGCCCTGGTGGGTGTGTCAGCCTGGGAATGAATTACCCTGAAGGCAGCCATGTTGGGTCTGGCTGGCCCTGGCTGGTTTAGCCCCAGGAGGAGCCTCTGATCCCAAGGCATCTTGTTCTCAAAGAGAAACAATGTTAGGGAGGGGCAGAAGCTCAGCTGCACAAAGCAGGCGGTGCTCTAGCTAACAGTTTCTCAGCAAGTTAAGCATGGGTCTACCCCATGATCCAGCCATTCACTCCCAGGGGCATAGCCAGGAGAAAATGGAATCTATGTCCTTACAAAGATCCACACATGGAAACAACCACCTGTCCAGCAACAGATGGCGGGATAAACAAACTGTGATTTATCTAAACAATAATAGTCAGCAATAACAAGGAATAAACTACTGACACAAGCAACAGCATGGAAGAATCTCAAGATGAGGGAATCAGACATGCTCTCTCCAAAAGAAGAGCATTTACGGTGTAACTTCTCTTACAGGAAATTTCAGAAGACACAAACTAAGCTAGTGACAAGCAGCAGGTTAGCGATTTCCTGGGGTGGCAGAGAGGGAGGGAGGGACTGATGACAAAGGAACAGAAGGAGACCTTTGTGACTGATGATATGGTCGCTATCTTGATGATGTGGGATAAGGGAGCTAGCTGGGCTGGACGTCACAGACCACAGGCCCTGCCCCGGGTAATTCTATCCTACTTGTCTGTGAGAACATCCCCTTTTCCTAGGGTGCTTAGTTTCATCCGGTACTTGAGGGAAAGTCTCCGTGTAAACAGGTATATTAAAGGGCAGGCACTGTGGTATAGCAGGTAAAGCCGCCACCTGCAGTGCCAGCATCCCACCGGTTCGAGTCCCGGCTATTCCACTTCCAATCCAGCTCTCTGCTATGGCCTAGGAAAGCAGTGGAAGATGGTCCAGGTGCTTGGGCCTCTGCACCTGCATGGGAGACCCAGAAGAAGCCCCTGGCTCCTGGTTTTGGATCAGCACAGCTCTGGCCATTGAGGCCAACTGGGGAGTGAACCAGCGGATGGAAGACCTCTCTCCCTCTCTCTCTCTCTGCTTCTCCTTCTCTCTCTGCGTAACTCTGACTTTCAAGTAAATAAAAAAAAAAAAAAAAGACTAAAGGAGGTGCTGAGCTGCCCCCTCAGCTTCCCTTCCCCCACCCCCTTTTCTCTCTGGCCCACTCCACTCCTCAATTACGCCCACACGCATGTGTGCATTGTCTCACCTTTTTCTTCTTCTTCTTCTTTTTTTTTTTTTTTACAGAGTGGACAGTGAGAGAGACAGAGAGAAAGGTCTTCCTTTGCCGTTGGTTCACCCTCCAATGGCTGCCATATGCCATCTATGTGCCTGTGCCTAGAATGCTTCTTTAGGTAACAGGCAAGGACCTGGAACCGGAATCCAGACCCCACCTGCCCCCACATCACAGGTGGTGGTCAGGTCATATTTTCAGGGGTGTATATATAACTTATCAGCCGGTGCACCTCAAACGCGCAGGCCCTGAGGAAGCCAGGGAAGGCGCTTTCAGCAAAGGCCAGCCCCGTACCTAGCACTGGACGAGGAGAAAACCCTGCGGGAGACCCCTTCCTCTGCCCACTCCATCCCAGGCCCAAGCTAGCCGCTGAGTTTCTAGAAAGGAGACGGGGCGTGGGTTGTAGCACTGGGAGCCGCCCAGGCCGGTCCCTCCCGGGCTGATTTGGGGGTGAGCTGCAGAGTTGAGGCCGGAGGTATTTTTATAGCCCAGGAAGAGGGGGTGGAACGCCCAGGAGGGGTGCGGGATGAGCTGGTGACCATCCAGGGGCTGGCAGGGAGACGCAGGCTGCAGTAGGTCACAACACCAAGCCTTTGCCCTCTGGGTCACAGAATCGGGGCTCTCAGAGGTCCAGCTGTTTCCCATTGACTCCCATCCCGCACCGTTTATGGTATCGCTCCCTAGTCCCCCTTTCCCACCAAAGCCGTGGTGCGCCCCTCCTGGAATGGAATGTCCTTCCCAGAACGAACGAACGGTGAGGCAGGCGCACCTCCGGCTCCTCCGCTGCAAAAAGCATCGTGTGTATTCCACAAGGCGAAGTGGGCTCAAAGGGAATAAAGCTTTTGGCATCACATCGGGCACGGAACGAGCGCTCAAGAAACACTCGCAACGCCCGCGCGAGCGTGGCCGCCGCCCCGCCACCGCCTCCCGGACGCCCAGAGCACCCGGCGCGACGTTCGCGCCGCCACGTCGCCTCCTCCCACCCTCCACACACCCGGGTTTACCAGGCGAGACCCAGCGCTAGGTACCCGGCTCACCGGGCCGCGCCCCACCCCCGGCCTGAGCCCTACGATTGGCTGCTGCAGGTGCTCGTCTTGAGAGGCCGCTGCAGATTGGCTGAAGTCAGTGAGGGGGGGCGGGCCTCGGGAGAGCGTAGGAAGGGCGGGGACCCGGATGTGTGTGGTGGCGGCGGCCGAAGAGCTTGTGTGCGGAGCTGAGAGGCCTATGGATGAGGAGGACGCGGCGGCCCCGGTAGGCGGGGACCGGGGGGCGGGGTCCCGGAGGCCTCGGGTCTCCCCCCTCCGCCCCGAGTCCGAGGCAGGGGGCGGGGGTCCTGGGCGGGGGTTCCGGGATCAGGGGCGGGGCCTTGAGCTCTGGTTCCTGGGTGTCTTCCCACGGGCGGTGGCCAGCCTTGGCTCGGTGCAGGGCCTGAGGAGACTGGGCGTAGTCACCGGGACGCCCGGGGACCCCCTTGTCCCCCCACCCACCCCGGGCTTGTCTGAATGACCAGGCCGGCCTAGCGCGGCTGTCAGTCGTCGGTGCCAGAGCTATGGCGTTCTGGGCCGCCCCCACCCACCTGGGCTGGACTCCCGGCTGAGTGCCCAGGGTGGCACAGGAGTCTCAGGGCTGCCCCATGGGTGCCTGCCCGTGGGCTACGTGGTGGCTTGTAGCTACTGCATTAGAGTCCTCATATGTGCCTTGGGATGGAACAGAATGCAGCCCAGTGGAAGCTTACGAAGCACCTACTGTGTGCAGGGTCTGGGTGGACCCCTTGTCCCAGCGTTTGGGGGGTGAGGAGGGCAGAGTGCTTCACGTTTTTCTCACGTTTGGCTGCCAGGATAAATGTCCGCATTCACTCCTGTGTTGGCGCTGCTGGTTGTGTGGACATGGGGATGGGTCATCCCGCTCCTGTCCGCCTGGCAGAGGCCATCTTAGTGCACGAGGCCATCTTAGGGGACGCCACCTGATTGGCCACTACCGGCCTTGGTCCTGCTGGGATGGGTTCTCTTAGGATGTGGTCAGCTTAAGGTCATGTCATTTCCTTGTTTTGAATCTTCCAGAGACGTCTCATTCCCCTTGGAATAGAATCCAGACTGCTTACCGTTGTCTGCAGGGCCTTGGCTAGGCTCCAGGCTCCTGTCTCATCTCATACACTTCTCCCTCCCGTTCCTGACGGCCGGCTGCCCTGACCCTCTGTTCCTTTGACCTGTGCCCTGGCTGGCTGTCTTCCTGGAAGGCTGTTGCTTAGGCTTGTCACGCGCCTGCCTCTTTTCCCACTCGGATGTCCCCTCTTCGGAGAGCCCAGCTTTGCACTCTGTCCACTCCCTCCATGATCACAACACACTGGGTTTTGTTCCTCCGCTGTCAGAATCGTGATAACTGGTGTCTGTCTGTCAGGCCTCCCGCCTACACGTACTAGAATGGAAGCCCCATGGGCGTGAGAATCCCATTCATCTGTTGGCAGCTCTACTCATAGCACCTGCCTGGTAGGAGCTCCCTGCGTGTTTTAGGAACAGAAGGATGAGGATGGGGATTGTTGAGAATGTGAGCAGATGGCTTCAATTCCTGCACCAAATGAGCCACATTCTGGGTCAAGCAGGCTAAGTAAAGGCTTTGCTCAGGGCCCTGTTTCTCCCTTACTCTCTTCCTCGCCCTGCCAGGTTTGTTCTCATGAACAAGATGGATGACCTGAACCTGCACTACCGGTTTCTGAATTGGCGCCGGCGGATCCGGGAGATTCGAGAGGTCCGGGCTTTCCGGTACCAGGAGAGGTTCAAACACATTCTTGTGGATGGAGACACGCTGAGGTGCGCCTAGGGGAACTGTTCCAGGTGTTAGAGATGAGCGGGGCTTTGGTGGAGGGAGGGAGTCGTCTACTGTAGTGTCTACACTGCAGTGGGAGGGGAGGGTGTGCCTGGTTCTAGAAGCTGTGAAGTCATGTGGGCCACTTCATTCTGCATCCCCCTCTGCCTCCCCACAGGGGTGCTGTGTCCTGCACTGCAAGGGTCTGTCCTGGCTGGGCTTTGGGACTGGTCATGTCTGCTTTAGGGGGCTGCCAGGGTCTCAGCCCCCACCTCCCTTGTCTTTGGTCTCTGTGTGTTCGCTTTCGCTTTCCTGGCTTGAGCCCCTTCCCCAACTCCTTCTGTGCCTGATTCTGTCACAAGCGGGAAGGACGAAGTGTTCTTTAGCCTGGTGGCAAGAGAGCTGAGGAGGACTCTGGGGACTACAAAGTGTCTTCCAGCCTGCAAAGACTTTGGCACAGAGGACCAGCTGTTCTCTGTTTCGCTGAGAACAGAGCCAGAGAAAAAAGGCAGAGGCTGCAGGGTGAGGGATTGAGATGGTTTGTTTATTTGATAAGCTGGCGGGGTGGGGGGGAGACAGACAGACAGATAGAGATCTCCCATCTGCTCCCCACAATGTCTTGGACTAAGCCAGGCTGAAGCTGGGAGCCAGGAATTCAGTCCAGTCTCCCATGTGGGTGGCAGGAAGCTAACTATCTAAGCCTTCACTTTCGCCTCCCAGCGTGCGCATCAGCAGGGAACTGGAATCGGGAGCAGAGCCGGGACTCAAATGCAGATAGGTCTGATCTGGGATGCAGGTGCGCAACCTGTGGCTTAACTTCTAGACCAGATAGCTGCTGCGGGATTGTGGTTGGACAGGGTGATGAGAACCCTAAAAGGCAACTAAGTGGAGCTGCACATTCTTTTCCCTATGAAAATGGAGAAACCAGGCTTGTGTGGGCCTGGTGTGGGTTGGACCCTGGCTGGAGGCAGTGGAAGCAGAGGGGTTACCTTAAGTGTTTTGTTACAGTGTCGGCACAGATGTCCTGAAGTGAGGCCTAATGGATTCTCCTCTGTGCTGGTCCTCGTGGGGGGTTGGGGTGGTGGTTGGGGGGGGCTGAGGTCCCCTCCCTCACTCCTGCATTGGGCTGCTAATGGAAATCCCCCTCATTCTTCCTTCAGTTACCATGGAAACTCTGGTGAAGTTGGCTGCTATGTGGCTTCCCGACCCTTGACCAAGGACAGCAATTATTTTGAGGTGATGAGGGCGGGGGGTGGGCAGAGCAAGGCATGCGATCAGGGTGAGATCACTAAGTGGCAAGGAGGTTCTCCACGAGATTCATGACCTTGACCTGGTTCTCCCGGGCCGCCTTCCTGGCTAGGAGAAGGGTCCTGGCCCTCTGCCCTCTTTCCCGTCACCAAGTGGACTTCACAGGAGCCCAGATTTTGACCCAAGTCCTTCTCCACCTCCTAACCTGAACCCAGCTCCTGTTTGCTGTCCTTGGAAACGGGTTCCTGAGTAGCGTGATGACGCAGGCTCCCGCGCTGCGCCGTCACAGCTCTGTGTCAGTGGTTCCCACGTCATTTGTCTGTTTGAGCTCAGTCCCTTCTGATCTCTAACATCCCTCCCCACCCCCGCCAGCTGAGTGTGCCCCATGGGTTTCCTGCAGGTATCTATTGTGGACAGCGGCGTCCGGGGCACCATTGCTGTGGGGCTGGTCCCTCAGTACTACAGCCTGGATCACCAGCCTGGCTGGCTGCCGGACTCTGTGGCCTACCACGCTGATGACGGCAAGTGAGTCTCCTCCTGCTGAGCCTGCGGATTTGGGTGTCTAAGGATCACGTTGGGGAAGCTTTGGCTGCTCCTTCCCCTGCGTTGGGGTGTTCTCATGGGCTTTTCTGACCAAGTCATGGGGGTTGTCGGGCAGCTGCGCGTCCAGATTTTCAAGCTTAAAGGGGAACGGGGACTCTCCCAGGGCTTAAGCGGAGTGGCTACTGTCACAGGGTGACCAGGAGCAGGGAGACAAGGCCGCAGCTGCCAATGTGGGGGAGGAGAGGGAGGCCAGGCCGTGTCTCTGCACCTCTGTCCACAGGCTGTACAATGGCCGGGCCAAGGGCCGCCAGTTTGGGTCAAAGTGCAACTCCGGGGACCGGATTGGCTGCGGCATTGAGCCTGTGTCCTTTGACGTGCAGACTGCCCAGATCTTCTTCACCAAAAACGGGAAGCGGGTGAGTGGGCTCAAGGGGCCTTGAAGCCGCCCAAGGGCCTGCTGGCTGGGCCTTGCCCGGGGACCCGTGTGCTTAATCCCCATCTCCTGCACGCCCACCTCAGACCCTCCTGAAGTGCCCTGTGTGCAGAAGATACTTCCCTTTCCTGGGGCAAGATGGGATGTTACCCAGGTGGCTGGCGTGGAGGTGCAGGGAGGGTGAGCAGGCGTTGTGGGCGCCGGAATTGGGTGATCTGGGGAAAGATTCTGAGCAGGAAGAAAAGTAGACCAGATGGCCTGACTGCAAACGCTGGGGTCCCCTTTGGGTTTTTGACTTGAATACTTCTGGGACTATGGCATTTCTTCCTTTCTCTCTGTTTCTCGCTGTTTGTTTATTTGAAAGGCAGAGACACAGAGAAAGAGACAGACAGTCTAGAGAGAAAAATCTTCCATCCCCTGGCTCACTTCCCAAATGCCACAACAGCCAGGGCTGGGTCAGGCCGAAGCCAGGAGCCTGGAGCTCGTCCTGACCTCCGTGTGGGTGCAGGGGCCTCCTAGGGTGTGCGTTGGCAAGAGGCGGAGCTCAGGTTCAGACCCCGGCGCTCTGCGGGGTGCGGTATCCCAAGTGGTCTCACCCTCTGTGCCAAACATCCACCCCTTCTGTGTTTTGCTTTGCTTGTTGTACTTCTTCCCTGTTGAGAGAGGCTGGTAGGGGTGAAGGACGTGTCAAGAGCAAGTAGACGAGAGGGACCCAGCCCTCTTCCTCTTGTCCAACTCTGTCTCAGACAGTTTCTCTCTGCGTGTCGCTCCCCCTCTTCGTGGAGGAACGACACTGAACCCTGCGCTGTTCTTTCGTCTGCTCGGCCCTCCCCGGGTTTGCTGCTGGTTCTTCCCGGGTTGGCTACTATCCCTTCCACCTCCGTGGAAGGGCAGTTCCCCCTAGCCACATTCCCCACTTCCGCAGGGGAGCGGCACACTGCCGGCCAACTCTTCTCGGGGGCTGCACGGGTTCCCTTAGATGTTCCCCATAGATGTTCCTGATGCATGCCGTCTCTCTCCTCCTTTATAGTCCTCCTCCGCCAATCCTAACTCGGCTGCCCACACGCCGAGTACGCTGCTCTCCAATCAGGAGCAAGTCCTACAGTTTATTAGCTGAACTGGAGACAGCTGTGCGGAAGCTGTTTACTTCTCTCCCAGCGCCATATTGTGGGAGAGCAGATGCATAGAATAAGTCCTAATTCGAGTAACTTAGTCTAGTCCGGATTGCTCCCCACAGATCCCCCTTTCTTTTTATTTTTTAGCGTTGATACGCGCCTGTCTTCGGTGTCCCGCGGCACACACTCTGCTCTACTTGCTAGAGTTGCCACAGGCTCTTACAAGTCCTATCAGGCAAACCGAATCCGGGTCCTCTCTTCGCCATGTTGTGAGGAGGTTTTTAGGCGCTGATGCGTGCCTGTGTTCGGTGCCCTGCAGCGCATACTCTGCTCTGCTAGAACTGCCTGCAGGTGTTTACAAAACCTATCAGGCAAACCGAATCCAAGCCTTCTCATTGCCGTATTGTGGGGGAGACTTATTAGTGTTGGTTTGTGCCTATCTTCGGTGACCTGCAGCTCATACTCTGGTCGAGCTGCTTGCTGGCGCTTACCGCCTTAATTAGGCAGACCGAATCCAAGCCTCCTAATGGTTGTATTGTGGGGAAGCCTTACTGATGTTAATTCGTGCCTGTCTTCGGTGACCTGCGGCGCATAAGCTGCTAGCTGCCCGCAGGTGCTCATCGCCTCACTTGATTAGGCAAACCGAATCCAAGCTCTCACATTGCAGTGTTGTAGGGAGGCCTTTTTATTTCTCTATTTCTCTATCTCCGGGCATTCCTATTTCTCCCATTTTACTTCTATCTTCCAGCATTCCTATTTTTCTCACTTTACTTCTAAACTTCTGTTTCTCTTATCCCTGCGGCTTTCCGGCACCTCGCCCCGCCGGCGGGTTCCCGGCTCTGCGCCGCTTCAGCCCGCGCGCCTCTCTCATCTGCGCAGCTTCCCGGCTTTGCGCGGCTCGGCTTCGCGCGCTCCGCGGTCTCCACGCTTAACCCTTTCGCGTCTGAACCACGGCCTACGCCAGCCCCGTTCCCTATCTATTCACGCCCCGTGCTCTCTCTGCACGCGGCAGCTTCCGCGAGTAACACAGCGTAGCTTACGTGTCCGCCACTAGCATTCAATCTAAGTTCCCCGGGCTAGCCTGGCGAATTCAACCCAGCGTACGTCTCCGCCCCACGGTTTGGCTTCCCGTCCTTTGCTCCCCGGGCTAATCAGACGGACCCCAATCTGGCTCACGTTTCAGCTTCTGGTTTCAACTTTTCGCCCCCTATTCCCGGGCTAACTTGAGAATCCCAAAGTGGCTTTCGTGTCCGCCTTGGCCTGCCCCCCGCGGCTTCAATTTCCCTAACATTTTTCTCTACCCGGTATGTTTCCCCAAGCTTTCCTCCAACAATATTCCTCCCTCATTTCTCCTGGCCTCTCCCCACAGTCCGCATCCGAGTCTGTTTGTTCTAGCTTTCACTTTCGCTTTCGACCTTAGAGATTTCTCCCAGCTTCCCCCCGTAGTCCGTATCCGAATCTATGCCTAGGCTTTCAATAGCTTCTTCCGGCACCCTTTTCGTCCGGCTTTTCCCTAGGCTGTTTGCTAGTCTCTCTCTCCGGTAATTTCCCTAGGCTGTTTGCTAGTTTCTCTCTCCGATATTTTCCCAGTTCTTCCCGTTTCTTCCCTCCTAAGTTTCATATCCGTCCTAGGTTTCCTATCCGAGTCACGGCACCATTATGTCGCTCCCCCTCTTCGTGGAGGAACGACACTGAACCCTGCGCTGTTCTTTCGTCTGCTCGGCCCTCCCCGGGCTTGCTGCTGGTTCTTCCCGGGTTGGCTACTATCCCTTCCACCTCCGTGGAAGGGCAGTTCCCCCTAGCCACATTCCCCACTTCCGCAGGGGAGCGGCACACTGCCGGCCAACTCTTCTCGGGGGCTGCACGGGTTCCCTTAGATGTTCCCCATAGATGTTCCTGATGCATGCCGTCTCTCTCCTCCTTTATAGTCCTCCTCCGCCAATCCTAACTCGGCTGCCCACACGCCGAGTACGCTGCTCTCCAATCAGGAGCAAGTCCTACAGTTTATTAGCTGAACTGGAGACAGCTGTGCGGAAGCTGTTTACTTCTCTCCCAGCGCCATATTGTGGGAGAGCAGATGCATAGAATAAGTCCTAATTCGAGTAACTTAGTCTAGTCCGGATTGCTCCCCACACTGCGGCCTTGGCTGAGACGTCCTACCCCGAGTGTCTGCCGCAGCGCTCTCCTGCTTCAGTCCACGCTCCGAGGCCCGAGAGGATTTGGCAGCAAGTCGACAGACACTTCTGCTTGGCCAGGAGTACCTGGCATGTTTTTAGACTTTTTTGTACCTTTGGTTTTTATTTTATTTTTTATTATTTATTTTTTGACAAGCAGAGTTAGACAGTGAGAGAGAGACAGAGAGAAAGGTCTTCCTTTCCATTGGTTCACCCCCCAAATGGCTGCTACGGCCAGTGCTGCGCCAATCCGAAGCCAGGAGCCTGGTGCTTCCTCCTGGTCTCCCATGCGGGTATAGGGCCCGAGGACTTGGGCCATCCTCCACTGCACTCCCTGGCCACAGCAGAGAGCTGGCCTGGAAGAGGAGCAACCAGGACAGAATCCAGCACCCCAACCAGGACTAGAACCCGGGGTGCCGGTGCCGCAGGTGGAGGATTAGCCAAGTGAGCCGTGGCGCCGGCCCCTTTGGTTTTAACATCTTATCACTCTATATGATTCTTTATTGGTTGTACCATCTTAAAAAAAATACCCTTGTGGAGAGTTGACATGGTGGCACAGTGGGTGAAGCCACTGCTTGCGACACCTGCATCCCGTATCAGAGCACAGATTCGAATCCCGGCTGCTCCACTTCCCATCCAGCTCCCTGCTAATGTGCTTGGCAAAGCAGCGGAAGATGGTCCTAGTGCTTGGGCTCCTCCCGGCCATGTGAGGGGTCTAGATGGAGCTCCAGGCTCTTGGCTTAGAGCTTGGCCCAGTCCTAGCCCTTGCGGCCATTTGGGGAGTGAACCAGCAGGTGGGAGAGCCTGCCTTCTCTCTCTCTCTCTCTCTCTCTCTCCCTCTCTCTCTCTCCCTCTCTCTCTCTCTCCCTCCCTCCCTCCCTCCCTCCCTCCCTCCCTCTGACACTCTTTCAAATACATAAATAAATCTTCAAAAACCCAAACACCCTGGTGAGAGTCAGATGAGCCGTGGAGAAGTGAGCCAGGTGGCAGCTGTCTCCTTCCTCCGCTGCAGGTGGGGTCCACCATCATGCCCATGTCCCCGGATGGGCTGTTCCCAGCAGTGGGCATGCACTCCTTGGGAGAGGAGGTGCGGCTGCACCTCAACGTCGAGCTGGGCCGCGAGGACGATGGCGTCATGGTGGTGGACAGCTACGAGGATGAGTGGGGCCGGCTACATGATGTGCGAGTCTGCGGAACCGTAAGTGTGGCTGGGGCGGGCACTGGGGAAGGGGCTAGGTGGGTGCTGGGGGCGGGGCAGGCGCTAGCCCTACCTTTGGCATCCCACGCCCTCTGTCACCCTGCACACCTGCCTTCAAGGGGCTGAGGTGTGACTGGCCCAGGCTTCCTGTTCACACGGTGCATGGGGTGGGTGTGGTCTCAAGTCCCACACACGTGGGGAGAGCTCTGTAAGATCTTGCTTGAGCATCGTTGTCAGCCCCTCCGTCTGCCCTCTGCATCTTCCAGAGGTTGAGAATGGAGGCTGGTGGAGGGTCTCTGAGATTCCCGGAGCCTCCAAGCTCGCTTCCTGCGCCTTCTCCATGCACCTGCTCTGGTCTCTCCTGGAGTTGAAGAAGCCTTGGGACGCGCTTGGCCCCAGAGAGAGGGGAATTCCTCCTAGCTTCCTCCTGCGTCTCCTGCTGTGTGGGGAGAGACTGGGCATTGAGTCCGGGGTCTGGGCCACTCAGGCCTCCCACCTTGAATTGTCCCCCTGCTGCCCCTTCGCCCAGGCCTGGCCTTTTGTTCCACCCTCTGGCCTAAGCACCCCAACCCAGGCTGCTTTGTCACCTCAGCAGGACAGGAGCAGTCGGGGGCAGGAGTGGATTCTGAGCAAGGTCTCCCCCTTGTGGAGTTCAGGGTAGTCCAACCCTGGAGGAGTGGCCCTGGGCTGAGCCAGGAGGCCTCGGGCGCCCGGCCCTCCACTCTCCCCTCTCTTCTCTCTTTCCCCCTCCACCATCATTTTGATGACATCCACAGAGTCGAAGTTGGGACTGAGCCAGGACTGTGGTCCGGCTCTCATCCCTGACCTCTCCACAACAGGGTTTTCTTGGCATCTTTCCCGTCCTGGACCTGTCTGCACTCCGCTCCTGGCTCCTCCCAGGCAGTCTTTTCTGAGTGACGCGGAATCCCACAGATATTTATAAATAGCCTTCCTTCCTCCCCACCCTCCCCCAGCGGCCTTAGGCCACTCACTCCAGGATTTTTTTCTGAGGCCTAAGCTGAACTGTTGCATTTGGCTCTTCTCTCAGCTCCTCAGCCCAGCCCGGGATAGCTGGCAGGGTGGGCACACTGCTCCCTGGGTCCTTGCTGCCCCGGGGAGCAGAGGCAGACGTGGGCAGGAGCCTCCTGAGGACGTGTGCCTTCTCGCCTTCCAGACAGGGGTGACTTACCAGTTTCCTCCATTATCCCTGCTTGTCTCCTGGCTGCCTCCCTCCCGGCTCTTCTTCCCGTTACTGTGTTTCTGACTCAACCGCTGAGAGCCGTGTTGTCCCAGAGGAACCTGGGAGAGATTTGGGCCACGCTCATGGCTGCCTCTTCTGAAGGCGTCTGGTGTAGCCGTTCCCCCTTGCCCTTTTCTGCCTGTGTGTCTGGGGCATGTGATCTCTGCTGCCCTCAGAGCTGGGTTCTCCCGTGCTCTCCGTCCTGTGCCCTTTGGAGCGAGGAGCTCTGGGCGAGGCTTTGATGCCCCCTTGCCCAGAATCCCTCACTGGGAGACTTGGCATGGTAGTTGGGGTGGTTTTTTGATGTGCAACTCCTAGACACAAGGTGCTCCTGGCCCCTGTCCTGGGCGCGTGACAGCCCCACAGATGCCCACACATTCCCAAATATCCTCTCGTTTGGCTGTGCGTGAGAAAACAGCCCCAGAAATGAGAGGAGAGGCTTGTTCAGATGTCAGATGGTGAGTCAGTAGCACAAGCAGGCCCAGCTGCTCATTATATGACCCCTGAACCCTGCCTTTCCCAGTGTAATTGAGATGGTTCCCAACTTGTAATGTTTTGACTTAGAAATTTTTTTTTTTTAGCTTTATGGTGGCGCAGAAGCGACTTGCTGTTGGTAGAAGCTGTGCTTTGATCTTTCCCTGGGCTGGCGCCGTGCAGGACACCCCTGCCCTGCAATGCCGAGCATGGTGGCTCACAGCCAGCCCAGCCCCGTGACCGCAGGGCCAAGCAAGCCGCTCTCACGGGGCTCTGTGCAGCGTGGCTAGGGCGCTAGGGAGGTTAGGTGGAGTCCGTCCATGCTCAGCTAATGGGCGTTTGCAACTTCCTGGGAGTTGTTCGGTAGGTAACCCTGTCGTACGTGCAGGAGCGGCTGTGCCTGCTGTGGAGGGTGGGGGCAGCCAGTACAGTGGGCTAGACTGGTTCTGTCTATTCCCTGCTCTTCTGCGGGAAGTCAGCTCCCTTCCCATGCGTCCTCGCGGTGGACTGGAGTTCTCAGTGAGAGCCCACTGCCCCGGGAGACTGCTTTCTCGGCTCTCTAGCCAAGGCCCTTCTGCGAGGGCTCCCTTGGCCGCCTTGGCATGCTCCACGCTCTGAGTCCTTTCTCTCAGTGTTGGGGTCTCAAGGGTCCTCTTCTCCCTTTTCGTTGGTTCTCACAAACAAGAGCGATTCACTTCCTGGCTCTTTTTTTTTTTTTTTCTGCCACTGTTTCATTATGAAAAATTTCAAATATACAGAAAATAAAATAAAGCAAAAATAGTGCAGTGAACACTTGTATGCCCATTCCGCAGATTCAACAATTGTTTATACTTAGTGGCGTTGTTTGATCTGAGTATCTGTACACAGACAGATGTGGCTCTTTTAAAAAAAAATATTTATTTTATTTATTTGAAAGAGGGAGAGAGAGAGAGAGAGAGAGTTCTTCCATCCGCTGGTTCACTGCCCAAATGGCCACAATGGCCAGAGCTGTGCTGATTCAAAGTCAGGAGCCAGGAGCTTCTTCCAGGTCTCCCACGGGGGTGCAGGAGCCCAAGGACTTGGGCCATCTTCTACTGCTCTCCCAGGCCATAGCAGAGAGCTGGATCGGAAGAGGAGCAGCCAGGTCTTGAACTGGCGCCCACATGGGATGCCTGTGCTTCTGGCCAGGGCTTTAACCCCCTGTGCCACAGCGCCAGCCTCAGATGTGGCTCTTTCTTGAGTGAAATTCTTTGTCTCTTGTGGCCTCCGTTTCCCCCCTAAAGCGTGCCCCCACAGGCCCCTGTGGGAGTTGGAGCATTGCTGTGGCATGTACTCAGGGATGGGAGTGCGGCCCCTCGCCCACCCCTGCCTGCGGGCCTCACGCTGTGAGGTAACGTGTAGAGGGTGGGGGGCAGCTGGTACAGTGGGATTAGACTTGTTCTCTCTTTGTTCCCTGTTCCTAGCTCTCTGACAACTCCTTGGTGACGGGACAACAGCTCCGTACACAGAGGGGGTGAATGAGGCCCTACCCCCCCAGGGGTCCTCCCAGACCCAGCCCAGAGGGAGGCCGTGTTGGGGCCTGAGCTGGCTGGTGGCGAGTGCGTGCTAGGTTCCTGTTTCAGCTGCTTCTGGGCCCCGTGGGCTCTGGCCCCTCCCTGGGTCTCTGCTGGGAAGGGGAGGCGAGGCCGTGAGGTGGCTGCTGCTAGGAGGCAGGTGTGGAGTGCAGGCGGCCTCGTGGGACCAGCAGCCTCCAGCCCGTGTCGTGCCCACTCGCTCGGCCTTTCCAGCACGGGTGGTGTGTACGTGTGTTTCAGAGGCAGCAGGAGGATGTGAGGCCCCCAAGGAGAGGGTTCTCACCAAAGATGCAAAAGAACATTCCTGATGATTGGGTGGTGGTCAGCGGGGAGGTGGCCTGGGGTGCGGTCACCTGTCCTTTGTGGCCTGAGTGGCTGTTCTGGTTGGAGGGAAGAGTAGAGGTGAGAGGTCACTTTCTTCTTGGTGGTTGGGGTTTCCAGTGTGCCCGCCTACTGGGTGTCCAGCTCCCTGCTAAGCACTTGATCTTCACGGAGTCTCTCACCGCGTTGTGGAAATGCAGGTGGTGTTAGCCCCATTCTATTGATGACAAAACCGGAGCTTGAAGAGGTGACTGTGTCTTGCCGAAGATTCGTGGCTACTGAGTAATGGAGTTAGGATTGAAACCCAGTGTGTTGAATTCTCGTTCTCACTAAGGCATCTGAGCACAGACACGGACCAGCACCAGAATCACAGCAGTCCAAGTCCTAGGTTCCTAGGGACTAGCTGGGGTCTGTTAGGGAGCCCCACTTTCCCACCTCCGCCCCTCTGCCCTGAAAAGGCTCGTCAGATGACGTCGGGTGGCTTCCACCATGAGGGGTGGCGCTTCCTGTCTCAGGGAGGGCACACCATGCAGGGACCTGGCCATCCGGGATGTCAGCCGGCCGTCTGACCGCTGCAGGTGGGAGTGGGAGTGGGCCTCGAGGCCCATGCCAGTGCCAGTGGTCCTGGTTGTGACCTCAGGACGCACCCCATGTCCCCCGAAGCTTAGTCAAGCTGCAGCATCTGCTCTCTTCAGGGCCGGGGCCGAGGGACTCATTGGGCGGATTTTTCCCAAGGATCAGGATCTGGACTGGCCGGCTTTTGGCTCTGGAGCTGGAGAACACTGTGTTTCCTACGTGGAGGCCAGTTGGATAGAGTGGGTCAAGGGCAGCTGTGGGGTCCCCCACCCAGTTCTGCAATACTGGGTGGAGAGGGTGGGCTGGGGGCTGCTTTGGCTGGGTGGAGTATAGACCAGTTCCTGTGTGTTGAGCCACACCCCTCCCAGCTTGCTGGGGAAGGAAGCCAGGCTAAGAATGCACAGGGGCTGGGAGCAGGATTCACAGGGGGCTGGGTGTGCAGTTAGGTGGTCTCCCCGCGTCTCTGGCTGTTCCCTGGTCTGCCCACATTCTCTTGGGAGAAGAGGGGTGGATAGACTTCAGGGATCCAGGGCGGGAGAGGGCACCAGGTCCCTGTGCTCCGCTCAGAAGAGGGGGAGAGGTACGGGGCCGGTCTCTGCTAAGACCCGCGCGGGCTTCTGTGCTGGCACAGGCAGGAATCCTTGTGGGTGAGAGGGCAGGGCCAGGGCTTGTCAGGGTGGAGGAGGCCCCCAGGGAGCAATTTTTTTTAGGGCTGCCAGGGTGGAAGGATAGATGAGGGGTGGTTTTTAGGTAATTAAAAGGGGATTAAGGGCTCCCAGGTGATGATGAGGGTGGAAGAAAGAGGGGATAGGGTTGAGTCATAGCCCCACTGTTACCATGACAACTGATAAATAAATCCTCCCAGACTGGGGGTTGCTACTTCGTCATGCCCAGGCAGGGCCGGTGTGGGACATGTGCCCTGTCCCAGCTGCACGCAGCTACTGTGTCTGGGGACACGGAGCCTGCCTCTGTCCTCACTTTGGCCTTCTGTCCATTTGGCACTTGAAGGAGCAGAGTTGACCATCTCGGTTCCTGGGCTCCCTGCAGCACCTCTCCAACCCAACACCGAAGCAGTCTCTTCAAAGTCAAGTCAAACAAAGACCTTGAGAAATTCACTCAGTCCCATCCCAAGCAGAACTGGCTTCTCAGCTCGCCCCTTTCCCCAAACATCCGGGGTCGGCCCCCACCCTGTGCCTCCTCCCTCTCCCCAGTAGGCCCCCTGAGAAAGTCACCCCGTTTCCTCTCAGCCCCTTCTCCACTCCTTTCCCTACAAGGCCAGCCAGGTGATTCGAGGAAGTGCATTTCACATGGGGTCCCGCTGGCCTGGTTCCCAGCCAGGAAGCCCTGCTGTCCAGCTGCCACTCGGCTCTCCACTGACTCCCAGCAAGCGGGGTGGATCTCAGGCCCAGGAGGAGTGCAGGAGGGCGTTCAGTGAGGGACTCCTCGTGCCATGCTGTCCCCTGCGCCCCCACACCCCGTCCCTGTTCTTCCACACCTGCCTGGAACTTGGAGGCCACATTGTGCCTCTGGGGTCCTTTCTGTTGTTGTTAGACCTGGGAACCAGTACCCACACTGCCTTGGGACCAGGTTTCCAGGTGGGTGTTAGCCTGACCCCACCCGGCTCTTTCCCCACAGCTGCTGGAGTACTTGGGGAAGGGCAAGAGCATCGTGGATGTGGGGCTGGCCCAGGCCCGGCACCCCCTGAGCACCCGCAGCCACTACTTTGAGGTGGAGATCGTGGACCCTGGAGAGAAATGCTACATCGCCTTGGGGCTGGCCCGGAAGGTGGGCACAAGTGCTGGGTGACTGGGCACGTGGGGCTATTGGCACAGGCCCAAGAAGCTCTGGGGGAGTCCGGGGGGACCTTAGGCTGAGACAGAACATGGCTGTGTGCATCTGCTGTGTCAGACTAGAGCCCACGTGAGCGAGGATCTGAGAGAGCATCACCACGTGCACAGAAGCCTGGCTCAGGGTGGGCGCCCCGAGCCCTCTCCTTACCTCCCCAGGATGCGAGAGGCTGGGGGCCGGGGAGCAGCTGTCTGGGTGGGCGTCTATTCCAAAAACATGGGTGATCCGGCTGCCGCCCTGTCCTGTCCTTTGTTGTGCGTGATTCCATGGGTTTCCTCCTCTCTGCTCACTGCAGGACTACCCCAAGAACAGGCACCCCGGCTGGAGCCGAGGCTCTGTGGCTTATCATGCAGGTGAGTGGAGGACATGCAGCTGAGGGAGTGGACTGGAGGGGCTCCCAGTGGCCTGGCCCTGGCTGCCAGTGCTTTCTCCTCATCTGTGTTTCCTCTCCCAGCCCGGAAAGCCGGGGTAGCAGATCGTGGTGGGAGATTGGGCCGAGCTGGACATTTCAGGCCCCCCTGGGCCCCTCCTGCAGATCTGCAGGGTCCTGGTTTCCTTTTCTTTCTCCTTTTTGGCCTGTTGGGTGCCTTCAGGGCTTCCGCCTCTCCCTCCCCTCTCTGCCAGCAGCTCCCCAGCAGGTTTCCCCTTGTGCTGAGGGACCTCGTGTCCCTGCTCTTGTCACTGGGCGCCCCCTCCCCACGTCTGTCTCCATCCTCGTTTCCTGTTGGGTGCTCCCTTCCACTGAGCCCGCACCGTGGGTGGGGAGGCGACCGCTGCCAGTCGGGGTGGCTCTGGGCTCCCTCAAGCACAGGTCTTGTCCTCTCCCTGTGACAGATGACGGGAAGATCTTCCATGGCAGTGGCATGGGGGACCCCTTCGGGCCACGCTGTTACAAGGGGGACATCATGGGCTGTGGCATCATGTTCCCCCGGGACTACATCCTGGACAGTGAAGGTCAGTGGGGTGCGGCGGGGCGGGGTGGCCAGTGGCTGCCAGTGGCTGCCCAGCATGAACGGGAGCTGAGGTTTCCTGGTTTCCCAGGGGACAGTGATGACAGCTGTGACACAGTGATTCTGTCTCCAACTGCCCGGGCTGTCCGGAACGTCCGGAACGTCATGTACCTGCACCAGGAAGGGGAGGAGGAAGAGGAGGAAGAGGAAGAGGAAGACGATGGGGAAGAGATAGAGCAAGAGCATGAGGGCAAGAAGGTGGTGGTGAGTGGGGGAGGCTGTGGCGCGGGGCTGGGCAGGGTGGGAGAAGGAGGGTCTGCGTGCTCCATCTGCTGAGGTGGGGGGGCCGAGGTTTTCCAGCCCTGGACGCCCTCTTGTGGCCTCTGCTCTTACTACCCTCTGTGCCTCGGCAAGGCCGTGCTGGGTTGTAGGAAGTGGTTGGAGCTCAGGACTGTGTAGCTCCAACACCAGAAGAGGCCATAGCCCGCCTCCTCCATTCTTCCCCCACCTCCACCCCCAGGTCTTCTTCACCCGGAATGGCAAGATCATTGGCAAGAAGGATGCTGTGGTGCCGTCGGGAGGCTTCTTCCCCACAATTGGGATGCTAAGCTGTGGGGAGAAGGTCAAGGTAGACCTGCACCCCTTGAGCGGCTAGGCCCTCTCCCTCTACTCACTCTGCGGGGCCGGGCACCTAAGGGTTTGCTCGCCCACCAGGCCCCGGGCCGCTGCAGGGTCTGTCTGCCCTTACCAGTGCAGGCCCCTGTCCAGCTCCTCTGCCCACGTTTCTGACCTGGTGCCTCCCTTATTGTCAGTCCCTGTCCTGAGTCCCTGGTTGGCCAGGAATGGGCCCAAAGAATGGTGTTGCTGTAGGAGGGGTCCCACCTGCTTGGGTCCCCTTTCCCTCACTGGCCCCATGGGAATGAGCGGGCGGGTGCCCAGTCTCAGCTGCTATGTGGGCGTGGCACTTTGCAGCGGGTGGAGCAGAAGCCCCGCCCCCGACTCGCCATGGTGTTTCTCGAAGAATTCTCTGTTCTGTTTTCTGTCCTCATCATGTGGACCAGCTGCTGCTGTCACCCCCCTGGCTGGGCTGGGGGGGGGCCTCTTGGGCCACCTTGCTCCTTTCATTGGCTACTGCCCTGAGACTCCCCTTGGGTCTCCTCCGTTCTTTCCCCCAGAGAGCTGGCTTTCTCTCCCTTCCTCTTCCCGTTCAGGCACCGTGGGCCCGCACAGAGCCCGAGTCTCTGCCCCCCCACCTGCATACACACAGATGGTCACCCATCCCACATCTCAGAGGGAGGGGCCAGGGGGCCCTCAACATCTTCTCCTCACCCGGGGCACCCTCGGCCCCAGCTCCCTGGATGGTGCCTGAGGCTCTGGGCTCATCTCTCCGCGAGGTCAGGAGGAGACCCTAGGGCCCCTCAGCCCCATCCGCACCCGGCTCTGTCCCCATGCCCGCTTGCTGCTTGTGCCAGTTGCCTGTCTGCTTCAGTGTTTGATTCTAGCACTCACTTGTGTCCCCCAGCCTCAGAGCTCCTTCTGCCCCCTGGGCCCCTCCCTGTAACGTGACTTCTCCCTGGAGGAGGGCCTTGGGAGCCTCGGGCCTCGGTTTGCACAGAGTGGGTCGGGCTGTGGGGTGGTGGGGGAGCTGCCCCCTTGGCCCTGGTTTCAGGCCCTGCACTATGATGTGTGAAATGTATGTACAGACCAGAGATGTTTACACAGCCAGTAAAGATGGAGTTTCCATAGTCGTCCTTCACAGTGTGCAGGCCTAGAATGGCTGGAGGGAGGGGCAGCTGGGGCAGTGTGTCCGCAGGGCGGACGGGAACCCGTGGTAGCCAGGGCTAAGGAGCCTGTAGGAGGATGTTGCTGGGACTGGCCGTGGACGCACAGGCATGTCCCTGAGAGACCCTGGGAATAAGGCACGACTCCAGCTCCAACCAAAGTATATAGAAATTCTGTATTCTTAGACAAAAATAGACTCTCTTTTTCCCCGTTCCTGTGATCCCACTGTGGTGTCTGCTCAGAGGGGGCAGAGCGGGGAATGACTTGCCCCCACACTCCACCCTCTCCCTGCCGCGCTGGGCCCTGCAGCTGGGTGGAGCCGGCAGGGCCCGAGTCCCCTCCGGGGCTGGTGTCCTCCTGCAGCCGGGGCTGTCCTGCTCCCCGTCACACGCCCGTCTCTGCCATCTGCTCACGTGCAAGGTCATCTCGTGGGCCCATCCACTTAGCTTAGCAGGCTGGGGGGAGGGGGAGAGCAGGGTCCCAGGTGAAGGCCCACTCCCGGTTCCCAGGGGAGGGTGCTGGTTCCTGGGCCCCCTGGTCCAGGCCGGGGGAAGTGAGGGCTGCAGGATGCTGGGAGGGCGCAGTGTGCACGTGGGCGGGGCACGCGTGGCCTTCTTCACTTCCTCTGGCCCAGTAGAACTTTGGTGATGAAGGTGACGATGGCGCCTGCGGGCTGGTCTGGGTCCAGCTCTGCGAAGACGTGACACACATTCTCCCAGGGGCTTCCTGGCTTCTTGGCCACAAAACCAAAGATCCTGGTGGGGGAGGGGGCGAAGCCATGGTGGGAGGGGCATCAGCTTGCCCTCCATGAGGGAATGTAGCTGGCGGGGGTAGGGGTGGGGTCGTCTGGCTCCACTGCCAGCCTTGGGAAGGAGGGGACGGCGCCCAAGGAAGGCTTACTTGGAGGTGGTCCCGTCGGGGTTGGTCCATCTGCAAAGGAGGAGAACCATGAAGGAGCAGCGGGAGGGGGAGCTGGGGGTGGGGCCTGTGGGAGCACAAGGCAGTGGGGGGTTGGGTGTGGAGCGAGGGTCACCTCCGGTCCTGAGGGTCAGTGCTGGAGAACGTGATGCTATTCACCGGGTAATGGCGGCGAAAGAAGAGCCTGCAAGGGGGAGGGGCGCTAGTCACACAGGGACGCCAGGGCCCCCAGAGCCCCCAGGGGCACGGGCACATGGACTCACTTCCTCTGGTTGTCCGTCAGTGTGATGCCCTGGGCTGAAACCTTGAAGTGGACCACGGCTGGCGTTGGGCGTGGGCTGCAGCTCAGAGCTGCCGAGCTGGCCCGGGCCACAGCTTGGGGGCCCGTCAGTGACTCGGTGCCCACCGAGGTCAGGTAGAGCACGCTGCAGGCTGCAGGGGCACAGGCTGTGTCAGGGAGGGAGCGCTGACGCTGCCAGCCCCCAGCCAGCCCTGGCATTCTCCCCAGCTAGTGCTGTCAGGTCGCATTGTGATCACTTAGGCGACTTGTCAGAACGATTGCATGAAACCCTCAGATGTACAGGTCAGAAATGCTGAAAAGCGGCCTGGGGTTCTGTATGCTAACCAGGCCCCTCCCCTTGGTCTCCCCTGAGACTGGAGAGCCTTGACCCAGGCCCCCTTCACGGGTGAAGTGCACCTGCCACAGCTCATCTGCCTCAAAGCCTACCAGGCCCTGTACCTGCAGCAGCCCAGCGGTGCTCAGGGGGAGGGAACGGGGGTCTCTACCTGCGCCCTGACGCAGGAGGTCTGCCGCCGTGCTCATGTTGGTGGGCACTGGGACCTCTGGGGTCTCTTCTAGAGGATCTGGGAGGAAACGAGGGCCAACAGGGGAGGTGAGCAGGCAAACGTGTTCCCCGGGAACAGAGGGCTCTAGCAGCTTCCCCAGGGGAGGCTTCAGGGTGGGGGGCACCGGGGAGGGGGTCCGCAGACACCCACCTTTGCTGGGGATGCGCAGGCAGCAGGGCAGGGAGATGGGGGAGATGGAGTGCTGGGAGACCAGGGCGGAGAGGCTGCCTGTGGGCAGGAGGCGAGAAGAGTCCCCAAGGGCCCGGCACCCTCTTGCCAGCCCTTGGCCTCCCTAAGCCAGCCCTGGCCCCTGCATCTCACCGAAGTAGGGCTCAGTGGGACAGCCCTTGATCTTCACCCCTTTGGGCCCAGTCTCGATGAGGAAATGGCGGACCAGCTGTTCCAAGGGGTCCCCTGGGAGGAGAGACGAGAGGAAAGTGAGGCTGTAGCCACACATTCAGCATCCCCCACTTCTCCTGAGCAGCACAGCCCCATCTTCCTGTCCACCCACCACTCCCCGCCATTGCCTTGCCTCGGGCACAGCCCCTCCCCCCCAAGCCCCCCCCCCCCCCCCAGCTTCGGGCTTGTGTACCTTTCCAGGGCTGAGCGCTGGGTGGGGGGGTGGCCACCTTAAGGGCCAGCCCGTAAGCTCCTTGGAATGAATGACTGTCCCTGATCAGGAAGGCCCCAGGGTCCTTGTCCTTTAGCAGGGCGATGGCTGCAGGCAGGAGGAGAGGCAGGGCTGGGTTTCCACAGCGGCTGGCTCAGCCCTGCGCCGGCCGCCAAACTCCTCTGCTAGCGGGCGGGCACCCAGGCCTATCTTGCCCGGACTGCAGCCCAGTGGGCTGCCAGGAGTCTGGGGATGGAACTTGAGAGTGTTTGCAGGGTTTTGGATGATGTTGAGTCTTAACTTCCTTGGGTCCAAATCCCAGAATCACCGGCTCTGGAGCCAGGAGCAGGAGCCCAGGCATGGCCAGCTAGAATGGTTCTGAGAACCCAAGACAGAAACCCCGGCGGTGGGGTGGGAGGGGCAGGCTGGCGGCTCACCTTGGTCACGGGACAGGTGTGGCTTGTACCAGAACTTGGATGTGTCCTGGACGAACTTGACGTTGCTTTGGCTCTCCTGCATTGGTGGCTCTAGACCAGGGAGGCACTGGAGTTAGACCCCAGGGCTCCCTTCTCTGGGGGAAAGTTCTGGAGGAGGCCCCACCCTCTGGAGGCCTTGGTACCTGGGGGTTGAGGGGCACTGTCCGGGAGCAGGGGTGCGAAAGTGACATGGTGACTGGTGCCCCTGGCTGGCGGCGACGCCTGCTCTAGGCCCCAGGGTCCTGGCTGCTGCCCAGGCCCTGGCACATGGCGTTTCTCAGGAAGCGGGGGCTGGGTGGAGCCGCTGGTGTCATAGGATGCAGCCAGGGGGAAGGCAGGCGTGGGTGAGCTCTGGGGTGGCTCTGGGCTGGCCACAAGCCAGGGCATCTGGGTAGGCACAGGGGTGAGGGGGGACCCATCTGGGCTGTCTGGGGGACCTCGAGGGCCCTGCCAGGTGGCGTGGCGGAGGCCGGGCAGCGTAGTGGGCACAGGGCCCCGAGGACTGGCACCGGCCGCATGGCTCCCTGGGCTCCTCTCCTGAGGCCAGTTGCTGGGTGAGCTGGGCGGGGAGGCCGCTGTGAAGGGGCTTGGGGCCAGAGGCTCAGGCCCACTTCTCGCTGGCATCTCAGCAGCCTTGTCAGCACCTCCCTGGGAAACGGGGGGCTCGCCAGGACTCAGTCTCTGCGCGGGTGCCGAGGTGGGGGACCTGGCGTCCTGTCGCCGGGTGCTGTGGGGAGAAAGGCAGCCGGTGAGCTGAGCGCCCTCCAAGCCTGTCTGGGCAGCCCCGGCCCCCGCTGCCTACCTCTCCTTGCCCTGCACCGGGCTGCTGGTATGCAGGGGCGTGGAGGGACCAGATAGCTCTGAAGACGCGCTGCACTGGGGATCCTGGGGGGACGGCGGCAGTGTGCTGTGCCCGCTGGGGCCCTCCCTCCAGGACGTGGGCTCAGGCGACTCTGCCAAGGGCATTGGGTGGCCGTGAGCAGGAAGGGCATTCTAGTCTGGCATAGTATTTTTCTCACTGCCTTCCCAGACCCCAGCACTACCCACCCCAGCGCCCCTCACCTGCAGATGCCAAGGGTCCTGTTGAAGCCAAGTGTCCAGGCAGTGGGTACTTGTCCCCTCCCTCCTCTACGGGGATCTCATAGCTCAGCTTCCTGGACTGTGGGTAGGGTGGGCTGCCCGGTGAAATGGAGCCGGCCCTTGGGGAGTGGGTACCCGGGCTGGAATACCCTCTGGCCTCTCCTGGAGGCTCACAGCTGTGAGGCACCCGCCCGTAGGCTGGGCAGTAGCTGGGAACTGCGCCTCCGTAGCCGTAGGTCACCAGGGCGGGGTACCCGGGATGGCCGTAGCGACCCTCGGGGCACACAGCGTAGGAGCAGCCCTCATGTCCTTCCTCGCTTGCCTTGGGTGGCTTCAGGCAGCTGTAGTCGGGCATCAGGGCATGGTGGTGGTGGCCGCATGCGGGTACCAGCAGGGGCAGCGGGTGCCCGGGCCGCACTGGGTGCAGGAGGGGCTTCCCTGCCTCGCTCGCCCACCCCTCGCCAGCTTCCCTCTCCAGCCGCAGTCCGTACAGGGCTGCCGTGGGCAGCGCCACCTTCTCCTCACAGGCCGGGCAGGTGCAGAGGGCGGGCAGCCCGGGGTCCTCCAGGATGACCACTTCCCGGTAGCCTGGGGCGCGGTAGCCGAATTCACCGGGGGCCGCTTTCCCCAGCTCGGCGGTGGCGTAGGGGTACGGACCCTCGGACAGCGAGCGGCACAGGCGCCGCTTCTCCACTGCGGCTTCCGCGTAGCCCTGGGCCGGCCCCTCGCATCCCCCGTAGGGCAGCCGCCGCCTCTCCAGGGTGCCCTCTGGCCGGTAGAAGCCCCCGTTGGGGACCCCGCAGGGCTCCCGGTAGCCCTGGCGACAGGAGCAATGGCGGCTGAGGCCAGGCCTCGGGCCTGGGTACATCCCCAGGTGGGGGCCGCCGCCCCCGGGGGGCTGCTCTTCATCGTCCAGGATAGCCGTCTCCCGCCCTGCGCCCCGGCCCGCACTGGCCATGCCACAGCCTCCCAGGAGGCGATCCAGCTCCTGCCGCTCGGCAGCCGTCGGGGGTGGCCGGCCAGGGGACTCGGC